TTGATTATTTGAGTTTCTGGGGTTTTGGTCTGGTCCAGTCCAAACCTGATATATTTCAGTTTGGACTGAATGGACCGACTACTTATGTCAGTTACTCCGTATGTGTTATCCATCCAAGTAGCAAACTCACCCTCAGGCTTCACCTAAACCATTCATTTGTTATCGTATCCCTTCAGCCATTCATTTGTTATCCATTCATTCTCCTCTTCTCTTTCTTCTTCGACACGAGAGAGCATGAAATCGGAAGGGGAAGAGCTCCTATTTGATGCGAACATGCCCAATGAGCGAGAAAAAGGAGAGTTCGAGGATGATGGAGGTGGTGCCGACACTAAGTCTTGAACCCTAGCCGTCACCCCAATTATAACATCCAACGTCTTTTCAATTCAGCGTCGGTGGTGCAGCGATGCCGCCCAACAGCGAAGCAAAAACCACTCCCGCCGACACCTTTGTTTTCGATATGTATTTGGATGTATCAAGTCCCGCACTCCAGCCGACTTCATATCAGGATTGTATTACCAGCGGTGATTTACTGATTTCTTATTTTTAATTTCAAGTTTTCAAATTATCAATCACTGCTAGTCCACTGTACATTGTCAATTGCAAATTTTCATTATTCAGTACCATACACCTTACCTTAGGGTACTTTTTATTGTTATGAACTTTTTTTGAATAGAAATGTTATTCGCAGGATTTTGAGTTGTTGTTTTGGCTATTTTGTGGCCTGCTTTTTGTATTTACATTCTCAGTTCGATCTTCTCAGTCCCAATCGGTTCGGTCCATTTAATATCAGTCTGGTTCGGTCTAAACCCGACGTGTAATAGGTCCGCTCTTTGGTCCTCTTTTGATCTTGATTCAGTCTTCGGTCCGGTTCAGTTCGGTCTGGTCTAGTTCTGGATCGATGAACAGCCCTAAGCAAGGGCGCTAGTCCTCCGAGTGGGCAAGCTCATCCATTCTTGTGATCTCATTCTTTTGGTCATACCTCCCCTCGCAAGTGCGGGTTGGTCTAGGCTAGGTAACTCTTCCCCTTCCTTTCAGACCTGACCTCTTATTCAAAATTAGCATTTCAAAGGTGACGCGGAGCATGCAAGCGGGAAAGGTATTCTTGGAGAAGTCCTCCGAGTGTAAACTAAATGAATCAATTATGACGAGTCATTCACCCAGCAATATTGGCCTGAACTAGACAAATGAAACACGAACAAATCTTCGAAAGCCCCCGAGTACAGTAGTCTTGAATTTTTGACCGGGTGGGCAGTTTTGGTTCTCCTTGACAACCTCCCAAGTAGGGTGGTGAGCCATGACTTTACTCGGACAAAAAACATTCCACAAAAGATATCAAAGATCGGGGTAGGCTTGACGTTTCTGTCTGACCGGGATCCCTTTTTTGCTGAAATCGATGTGTGGTCGGTGTACCTAATTTGATTGGGCTCAAGCTCGTAAAAAAATATGTGCAAGACCGGTGTGAGACCAGTGTACCAGTTCGACTAGGTTGTAGTCTTTTTTAATATGTGCAAGACTAGTGCGAGACCAGCATACCACGACAGGCATGTGTCACATATTTTTCTTTTTTTTATTATACTGAGCAAGACCGGTGTAGTAATTAGCCTACCTGGTCGGGCCTGTGTCTCAGTCTTCCCTCCAAACTTGTCAAAGGTGAATGTGTGTTCAGCGTATCCAGTTTGACCGGTTAAGTTATCCACCTTGCCAGTTTTCATACTGTGACTAGGTCAAGTTGTTTTTATGCTCTCGCCTTCCTACAATGCTCGATTCATGCTTCGGAGGCATCTACACTCTTTCGTATCGTGTGAATTCGTCTTGTGGTAAGTACAATACCTTTTTGCCTGGGACCACTCTTAACCTTCCTTTTCTAGAGTTTATATTTCATAGCACTTCTCACCCCGAACCTCATTTATGATCGAGTCACAAGGAGGTCAGGGGTTGCTCAAACCATTTTGGTGGCCTCCATCACACTTTAGTCCGGGCTTATATTTTGAATGGGCTAACTCAGTTTCTTTCTTTTCCCGGTATTGTTCCTCTGCGTCAGCATATTCCCATGCAATTTTATAGGCCTCCCGATAGGTGTTGGGAGGTCTCCTGCAAAATTCATTGTACAACTCCCGGCCCTGAGGCCATTTAGTAGGAGTGACAACATCATCTTGTCTTCCATATCTTCCACCTGGTTGACTTCTTCCCTCCACCTCGTTAAGAATTGGGTGATGTTTTCTGAATCCTTCTGTCTAATAGTGCTCGGGTATGTAAACTTCTTTCTCTTCGTGCAGTTTTCTTAGAACTTAGCCTTGAACTTTGCAGACAATTCGCTGAAGGAATCAATCTCACATGGAGGGAGCTTGTTGGACCACTCCATCGTCCGACCATGCAATATGTGGAAGAAGAGAAGACAATCTTCCAAATCGGTGCATCCCATCATCTTGAAATTTTGATGGAAGGAGTTGAGGTGTATCTCGGGATCTTCCTTGCCCGTGAACTCAAGCATCTCCATCTTTGCTTTTTGGGAAAAAGGTGTTAGATGGACCCCCACGGTGAACGGTGAGTCTGCCAATTCCTGCTTATCTTTATCGTTCTTCTCTTCCACTTTCCTCTCCAGCCTTTTCAACATGGCCTCCACCCGCTGAGCCTAGTTAGTGAGATTCCCCAACCTACTTCGTGCTGACTCGCATGGGCGGCTCTCTGCCTCTTCTTCCTGGTGCGACGCACGAGATCGACCCCCCCTGTTTGACCAGGAACGCTGGGAACATGCAAGTACGGCCTCCCTTCCTTCACCCAACTAGGTGAATACACTGAGATGGGTGGCGCCGGGTCCCAACCTTAACTTGGTAGATCTCCGCTGGTGCTCATCCGTTTCGCCCAGCATGTCAAATCCCAAGTCCCGGGATGTTGCTGGTCTTGGGGCCTTGCTATTCTTCTTATTGTGCGCGCGAGGGATGTCCCACTCTTCATCCCCACTCTCGACAAATATGCAGTGGCCATCCGGGATGTTCTCCGGACAACATAAAGGTCCGGCTACTTTCATAGCACTCGTCAAGTTGACCGGGGGCTATGTGCTGACAACCTGTGGTTAGAAAGGTGACGGTTGCGGCACCAGTGACGGAAAAGGGGCGGAAAAGGGGTAAGAGGCATGTGAGCCTGCAACGGAATTTGCCTCGCACCGGGTAGNAGGGTCATTGACAAACTATGTCATGCTTGGTGGGAAGGTCATCATTGGGCCAGCTGAAGGTATATGGGAATCACACCATATGTCCGATAGACAGTGCAGTGATGGCATGGATCGTGATGTGGCTAACGCCCAATGGAATCACCACGGCTGAGAGAGCAGCCTGAGAGGGGACCACTGACACAGCCATCCCTTTGGTGGCGGCCTGTCTCTGCACGAAATTAGTGGTATTTTGCTGCCCGGTTGACATGGTTTTTATGTGGTGCTTCATGAGTGAACCTTCTCTAGACAGAAAAAAGAACTCAAATAGGTTCCATGGGTGGAACCAAAAATGATGATGTAAATTATCATTTGGGTAAGCTACTCTAGACCGAGTCTATGGTGATTTGCTAAGGTTAATAACTAAAAAGACGCAGTAAATGGAAATTGACCGGGATGGCTGTAGCTGGGAACACTTGTAGTTCATTTATTATTAAATATAGGGAAGAGTATAGGGAGGATTTACACAATGTGCTTTCTAGAGAGAGAAATCGGATCCTTAACACTGAGGTTATATGAGTATTTATAGTGGAGCCAGTGGACAGGATCATGGGCACCCACGTATGGCCGCATGCCTGGACGGCACGAGGTGACTACTCTTTGTCATATAGTGTTGTCTCATTCCCTTGGCAGCTTGTGCTGATTGCAACTCCCTTGGCGCTTAGTACCTTGAATGAGAATATCAGCATATTCTCTGTGATCTTTTGTGGGATGCGGTCGCTACCGTCCAACCATCCTTGGATTTATTCGTGCTACTGACACATTTATGCCCAAAAATGCACTCTGTCGGTTCCTCAGCGGGCTGCCTTACTCATTTGAGAATCCTCCTCGACGACAAGCTACCAAATCGGTCACCCAGGTAATCACCCCAGATAGTTTCTCGAAGGATGTTATCTTATTGTTCAAGGGTCTATCCATGTCATGTCACTTGGCCACTTGCCTACCAGTCATTTGGATGGTCAGGTTGACCCGACCTGGGTCGTGGACTGATTCGCCTAAACTATCATGATGCGTATTATATGGGCCTTGCGTGGTTGTCCTCATTTTCATTCGATCATGCTAGATTGCTAGGTCATTATCATGTTAAAACACCAAGTCTTAGACATTCACCCGGGTGATTTAATCATTTTAAAATCAAATTCCTCTATGTTGGGTTGCCTATCCACTTTATTAATTTGTACTCCCTCCGTCCCATAATGATCTTCCCAGAGCACTATTCCAACTTCACGGGAATTTATATTTATTTGTGTTTTTTCATGGCCTATATGATAAAATAAAATATTCTTGTCACCACTTTTTTTGTTGAACTTTTGATGTAGTTTTTAAATATGTATGTTTTATTTTTTATTTCTATGCCAATATTTAAATAAAATAGATTGAAAAAACTTGGGATTTTTCTTCGTTTTGCGAACCGGGAAGATCATTATAGAACGGAGGGAGTAATTAATTTGTAATTCAAATTTTGATTTCTAATTATTTATAAATTATTTGGATACAGACATTCTAAAAATAATAGGAAGTATTAGAGATTTTACAAAGAACAGAGTTATTAAAAACATATTCTTTATAGTTGAAAAAAAGAGTTGGATCTTGGAAAAAAGTTGAAAAAACCGAATAGTCATATCAAATAGTCATTTGATAAAATAAAATAATCATATCACCACTAGTAGTCATATCCTAGTCTTGCATTCCTACTATCATCTCCAATACAATTCTCATAACCTATATCCTTCTTCATATTACACCTCCAATTTCTAAACAGTTTAGAAATATCGTATAACAAAATTTGGAAATTAGGGATGTAATTTGATGATGAAGACCATCTATGATATTAAAATTGTGTCTGAGGTAATTAGAAATGCAAGATTAATATGTTGATTACAAATGAATGTGTTATTTCAACAAATTAGAAGTGTAAATTATGTTTAGAGAACATTTTCAAAATAAAAAATTTTGTAATGATGACTTTACAACATTTTTTTACAGGGATCTAAAACAAAAATCACAAATTTTACATGGACTAAAAATATATTTAACTAGGGGTGGGCAAGGATCGGGACGGTCCGGGTTTTAGGTTGTCTCACGTCTTGTCCTGTTATATATAAACGGTCCGGAACGGTTCAGATTGCAATCTTATCCTGGTTTGTCCCATAAAATTCGGGATCAGAATAAATTGGGACGGATTCAGGTCGTCCTATTTTGTCCTAATCACAAATATAAGAAGGGGAAGAGGGTGACAATTCGTTCAAAAAAGGAAATATCTAGCCATCCAACAAAAAATAATGAGTGAAACGGGTCCAAATAAATTTCGAGCATATGAAGTTAATTTAATTAAATAACTAATTAATTAAAAAATGAATGTATTTAGATTTTGGACTAGAATTAATGTTATATATGAGTAGAATATTAGAGTAGATGAAACAGGACAAACGGGAGGGATCGGTATAACGTATAAATTTAAGCTATCCCACTCATGTCCCATTTCATATTGAGACGGAACGGGTTCGGGATAAAAAATGTGTCCCACTATATTGGTACAATTACAAAACGGATTTGAGATTTTTCTGAACGGTTTAACAGGAACAGATTTCACACCCACCTCTATATTTAACTCTTCCAACAAATTGAAATGAGCTATCTCGTGGGTAAGATTGACGAGCAAATCCCGAGACCGTGTGCTTAGCGTCTGAAGAATTCATTTTTCAAATGAAGAGACTAGCAGATCTATCAAACGTATCGTGACAAACTGTATGACCACTACAGAGTATTCCGTATTTCTTAACTACTACCTCCATCTCAAAATATTTGTCCAGTTTTGACTTTTTGAAGTCAATCTTTTCAACATCTAACCTATAATTGAATAAAATACGTATTATGTATTAATTAGATAAAATAATATTTTGAAGTTATTTTATAAAATGAATCTAGTGAAATTATTTTTGTATAAATATTTAATATCACTTTTGTTTAATTTGTGGTCAAAATTTGTCAATTTTGATCAAAAAAATTAAAAGTAGATAAATACTCAAGAACGGAGAGAATGTTACATAGCAGAAATTATTGAAGTCACCTACTTCCTTCGGTCTTAAAACCCTTTCTGTTTTGTCCTTTTAGGCTAAAAGGGATACTCTTTGACTGCAATTTTTGAAAAAAATATATTCAAATACAATATAAATTTAATATAATTAAGTTCACTTTAAGACAAAATATTATTTTAATATATCAAATTTTTATTATTTATCTATTTAGATTATATTTAATTTTATGGTGAAAGATTGTTACAAAAAAAATAAAAACATTAAAGTAGATACGAGTAGAATATTGTTACACAAAGGGATACACCGTAAGCTTGCCCCTTTCTGCATTTTGCAGCCATAGAGCGAGATGAACCCTTCTGCTCCTCCCTTCCAGCCACCTCCCGCCGGCGGCTTTCCTCTTCTGCCGCCAGCACTGCCTTCCTCGACTGGATTTCTCCCGCCTCCGGGAACCACCAATTCCGCGCCTCGCCCTCTGTTCCCTCCCCCAACCACCACAACAACCGCCGAGGCATCTGATATCCCCACTGCTCTCTCCGCCCTCACTTCGCTTCTGCTCCTATCTCAAAACTCTCTCGATTCACTCTCCGGTATTCTTCCGACGGCTTCTCCCTCTCCCACTGCTCTTATCCCTTGTCCTTTCAACCCCTCTCACCGCCTCCCCCCTCCCCCTCTATTCAACCACAGCCTCCACTGCATTCCTTCCTCATCGTCTGCTGAATTGGATTCTCTAATCCAGTCTTGTAGCTACCCTCACAACCTCCACTCATCTGCAGAGGGAAACGATACCCTTTTCAATCAGTCCCTCAATGACCCCGAAGTCGAACTATGCTTCTCTGTGGAAAGCTACTCCGGTTTTGATCGGAATGGTTTCTTATACTCGGATTGTCCTGAAGTTGTAAGCTTCCCTCTTAAGGACCCATCCCCTCCAATGCTTACTTTGCCTAGTTTCCTATTGTCACAGTGTTCGAATTTCATTAGAAATAGTTTTGGGGAAATAGTTTTGGGGAAAGATAGTTTTGGGGCATCCCAATATGTTAAGTGGAAAGATAGTTTTGGGGCGGAGAGAGTATATTCAAATTAATAAAGAAAATAATATCTAAAATAAAGCTAAAAGTTGCTTTCATCTGTTGTAGCGGGAAAAGTAGCTCCAGTGATACTTTTTCATTAGCAGCCTATTCAGCCAATAACTTTTTTTCATTATCAGCCTATTCAGCCAGTGCAATGACAATAGTTAGTTGGAAAAAACTTGCTAATGAGAATAATAAACCAAAGCCCACTAGCGTGCTCTATTCTCATGAGATCTTTTTTTTGGTATATCCAACTGTTAGGTGATGAGGGATGTAATAGAGGAATACATGGAGATTATTAAGCAAACTGGGGGAGTGGAAAACTTAACAAAAGGAGAAGAAACATACAATGATGCAAAGTCCAATAAGAGTCAATTGGAATCATCTTTAACAAAGGAACATACACATCAGTACACGAAAGACTCACATTCTCTTCGGGAAGCCCAATCATCAGACTTCAGAGATGGGTCTTCAAAAGAGAAAACTCAAGATAGATGTAACTACTCTCATATCACTGTGGATGCAGATAGAAGTGCTGTGAGAAATGGGCGTAGCAGGCTGGATTGTTCTAGAAGCCCAGATAGAAGCACTACTTATAAAAGCAAGCACACAAGTTTGAGGAGACAAGGTGATCGAGAAGCATACGAAGAAGATTTTTATCACAGTTCCAGTAGAAAACACCAGAAATCATATGATAGGAGTATTCACAAAGAGAGAGTTGACCATAGAAGACGGAGGAAAACTGAAGCATACAATGATCATACTTCAGTTTCTACTTTGCGCAATGAGTTTGATGACAGATATGATCCTTCAGAATCTCGTGATAGTCTATGAAGACAATATCCAACTGTCATGGTAAAGTGAGTAGCTCAGACCCTTTGCTGTTATGATCGGGCATGGTTTCCACAAAAGGTTATGATTATGGCTGTTAGACATAAGGATTTTTCTTTCTGTGGTAACTGGTACGTAATCGTCATGAAAATTATCTTGAGTGCCACTTTTTGCCGATCTTTTTTCAGAATAAGAAAAAAAACTAATATCAACTTCTCTTTGGCCGGTTTTCTCTTGAGAACTTGCAGTAGAAGTGAAACAGGTCGCTGCAGTTTGTCTACATCTGTATCCTCCTCTGTATCCTTTTAATGTTTTTTTTTGAGAAGTAATAACTCTATTACAACGTAGTAGTTGTTCATACATACTTTCCCAACATATCTAAGCACATAACTAAGCACATAGAATTCTTTTTTAGGCAAATACATAGAGTTACTTCCTCCACTGGGATTCGAACTCGTGACCTCCCATTTGGGAAAGCAATGATCACGCCGCTGGACCACAAGGTCTTTGGCTATTATTATTACTAATTTTATAATTATTGTTGTTGTTGTTATTATTATTAATATTATTGTTGTTGTTGTTGTCGTTGTATGTTTCTTTCTACCATTACTTTCTCTGCTTAAAAAGAAGGTTTGAATCATTTATTAATGGTTTTCACTTGCTTTTACTGATTTAGAATCTGTTACTGCATAGTTTCACATGGGAAGCATTGTGCATTTTATTTCCAGGGAGTCCTACTTGATTCAAGACATCATAAAGATCACACCACTGGGTTGGGTGTTCTACAACCTTTAACTTTTAGCAATGACTTGTATGATATGTTCCACATGAATGTTTTTAGTTGTGGATAACCCACCTGGGATTCATACTCACCAGCTGACACGTTGAATCGGATTATTGATTCTTATATGTGCACTTCTAGTACGGGCTATTTAGTTGGTTCCTGGCTAGAAGAATGTATGCATTGAATGTTGATGCATCATTGTGTTCTGTTGAGAACCAGATACTACTCTCACAATCCCACTTGCTCCCCGGGATAGTACATCAGGGGACGGTGGCCAAGCAATGACTGAGTTCCTTCACGGCTTCACCTCGGGAGAAAGGGTGGTGAAAGTAGAGTCCCTATAAAAGGGAAAAGAGTAGTAGAGGAAGATATGGTCAAATAGCACCAATGCCTCCCATTGTTGGGAAAATAGAAACCAATACCCTCTCCATTTTCAAAACTTATCTCTAAAGTCTTTGTGTTTTTAAAACGTTGCACTCATATCTTCTTTAATCATTTTCCGGCAATTTTTCCAGCGAAAAAGGAAGCATTGGTGCTTATTTTACAAACCATAAGGGACACCGATCCTCATTTCTTTTCTTTGTATAATTTTTGTTTTTCCTCTTTCTCTTTTATTTGTTTCTTTTATTAATCAAGGTTTTTTAAATTTCTTTTTAAATTGTTTTTATAATGTTCTTAAAGCATAAAATTATTTAATTTTTGTTTTAAAAAAATTATAATAAACATATATTGCATTTGTAAGTCTCAAATTAATTAATTTTTTTGTTTTTTCCATAACAAAAAAAAAACTTTTTTTGAGAACTTCAAAAAAACAAATATGAATAACATTTTTGGACATCCCAAATCTGAGGACATTTTTAGGTGTTTCGAAAATTAACTTTTATACAAGACTCTTTTTTGCATGTTTCAATTTTTTCATTTCTTTTTTAATATTTTTATCTTTGTAGTTTGGATTTTCTTTTTGAACTTATCAAAAAAATTATTCTAGAAAACAAAAAGCAAGTTTTTTTAAAAAAAAATTGAAATAGATGAAGTATATGTTAATTATTTTATTTTTATTTCACAAATAATTTTGAATTTTTTAAAGCATTATAAAAATGGAAAATTTTTAAAAACTTTTCCTAGGAAAATGAAAGAAAGAGATAAAAAGGAAATAAAAAAGAGTTAAAAAAGGAATAAACCTAAATAAGAAATGAAAAATAAGAAATGAAATGAGTGTCCCCTATGATTTAGAAAATATACACAAATGTCTCTTCTTTGTCGAAAAGTGAGTGGAAAATGATTTGAGGGATGCAAGTGCAATGTTTTGAAATCACAAAAACTTTAGAGATAAGTTTTGAAAATAGAAGAGGGCTGATAACAATTTTCCAAAGCATATGGGGCACTAAAGCTATTCGGCCAGGAAGATATCTTGTAATCGAGTGAGATTGAGCACATTAAGAAAATAATAAAAGAATATTTTGAGTTAGGCCATGCTCTCTTTACCTGATTTTAATAGTTTTGATCCGATTGGAATAAGTTCTGATCTGATTGAATGTAGTTATATTTAAAACTATTTCTGATCTGATATGGTTTGATCTGATTTCAATAAGATCAAGTAATACGTAGTAAGTAATAAGAATAAGCCAAGTAAACATGGTCTTAGTTCCAATCTTTGGGAATGGAGAGGTACTAGAGAGGAAGGTATGGTTGTGCAATTGTGCTTCCCTCATTTCCAAATAAACTAGATGGTTTGACTTCATGGAATTAAGAAAAAATGTTACTCCATCACAAATGGGAGTAAAGTGGAAAGTTTGTAATTGAAATTTAATCAAAAATATATAATTTATTTGGAGACATTATTGTGAAATTTTAAAAATAAAATTTATATAGTTAAAAATCACATCAAAAGTTCTAGAAAACACGAGGTGACATGACTATTTTTATCAAATAAGTAGTGAATGAAGTTTGAGAATGTGAATAGTAAACATATCATTTGTATATATTTCTTTTACCTATTTTTGTTACTTATTTTATAAACATATGCACTTACTATCTTAGATCAGTAATGTTCTTCCATTGGCAAGGTATTGCGAAATAAGATTTGTGATTATTTCATTTGGTTTTGCACGTAAAGATTGTTTCTTCATTTTTGTGGTTTGTTAGACTTAGCTCAATGTTCTTAATCCGGTTAGGTCTAAAAAGTTTACACCGTCACATATGGCTAAAATACAATATCACATGCCTATATATAGTATATACTAATCACATGTCTATAGACTATAGTTGCATGACAATCCAGGCTCTCATCTCTGTAAACAAATGTTGTAGGCTATTTGGGGGATTCGACTCGTATTCATTAACCCTTCTTGAATTTAGGACGTAGTGACAAAGAACCAGACGGAAATGGCCATTGGAGGGGAACGAGGGACAATCACGGTTCTAATAGCTCTAAAGAAATAATGTTCTACCTATTCATATTTTTTTCCTTGAATAAATCAATAAATGAGTGGTGTAGGTCACTAATCATTTTTCCAAAAAAATAAAATAAAAAAACCAAAACAAAACTGCGAGTAGAACTTAAATATAGGTTTTACCTCTAAAACAAGATTTTAATATACCATGCTAGAACCAAAATATAGGTTTTACCTCTAAAACAAGATTTTAATATATTTTCATCACCAAATAAAATTATTGCACTCCAACAATGTACACAATTTTGACACGGTATATTAATATTTCATAATGTTTTTTGGAATCATATGTTGGCATTATAAATTTTATTTTGAAGAAAAAAAACATAAAAGTCCTATGTTGTTCTCGCTCCATTTTAGTCCTATTTCTGTCTTGATACTCCATTTCCCATGTCATAATGAGTACATTTGATATGAGTACATAGTAAATAATGAGTACATAGAACTATAGAAGCATCCCTAGCTAATACATGATACATATAACACACTAAAAAGAACTCTTGAAGCATGTGGCTACCACATTACTCAGATGAAAGGAGTCAAAATGTTCAGTAAAATTGACTTGAGGGCTCGTTATCACATATTAGAATGGCTGAAGAAGACATGGTTCAAGGCTGCATTTACAACACATTCTTGACACTATGAATTCATAGTAATGCTATTTGGCCTTACTAATGTCCCAGCTACTTTCCAAAGTCTCGTGAACTAGCTTTTCAAACCATTATTGAGGAAGTTTGTTCTGGTTTTCTTTGATGACATATTGGTCTACAACAATTCATTGGAAGCGCACATGGGACATTTATGGAGTGTTTTTGATATTATGAGGACCAACAATTTAGTGGCCAAGATGTCTAAATGTCACTATGTAATTGATAAAGTGGAATATTTGGGGCACTTCATATCTGGCAAGGGCATTGCCACTGATTCTAGAAAAAGAAAGGTGACACAGGATTGGCCTCAGCCTACTAACATCAAGGAGTAAAGAAGTCTCTGGGGATTGGCAGGGTATTACAGGAAATTTGTAAAGAATTATGCATTGCTTGCTAAGCCCTTGACACAACTATTGAAAAAGGGGAACTTCAACTGGACCACTGATGCTACAGACGGTGGAGGAATTAAAAATAGCCCTCACTACTGCCTCAGTCTTGGGTCTCCCTAATTTTGCTAAAACATTTGTGGTGGAAAGTCATGCTTCCACTTATGGGATTGGAGCTGCTCTTGTGCAGGTTAATCATCCTTTAGCTTTTCTAAGCAAAACTTTGGGGACCTAAATGCCAGGAATTATCAGTATATGAGAAGGAGCTACATGCAGTGGTTCATGCAGTACAAAAATGGGAACAATACTTAAGTAGTAACACTTTTGTGATTATTACTGATAAAAAAAGCTTAAAGTGGCTCCTAGAGCAGAAGATTCCCACACCCTTCCAACAATTCTGGCTATCCAAGTTGATGAGATTCCAGTATGAAATGCACTATAGAAAAGGGAAGGAAAATGTAGTGGCAGATGCCTTATCCAGGGTCAAAGGGTCGGAATTACTGGCCTTGGCAACTTTTTCCTTTTTGGGGTGCAAACTGAAATTTTTAAGGGCATTGAAGAAAGCTATTAGTTGGAGAATAATTTGATGGAAACTATAGCTAAACTTCAACAGGGTGTGGGAGTGAGTAAACATAGCCTGCAAGGGAACTTGATGAGAAAGAAAGGAAGGTTGGTGATTGGACCAGATGCTAGCCTAAGAGCTCAAATTCTCAAATGGGTACCCAATTCACATATGAGAGGACATTGAGGGAGAGATGCAACAGTGAAGAAATTGAAAACCCTGTTTGTGTGGAAGGGTATGACCAAGGAGGTGCAAAGTCATATTAGATACTGTGTGGTATGCCAAAGGTGTAAGTATGACAATAGTCCTTATCCTGGGTTATTGCAGCCCTTGAAAGTGTCTATCTAGAGAATGTGTTTGAGCTTCATGGATGGCCTCAAACTATTGTGAGTGACAGGGATAAGATATTCCTAAGTGACTTTTGAAGGGCATTGATGACTATCCAAGACACTGATTTGTTATTGCCAACCTCTTATCACCCTCAAATCGATGACCAAATAAAAGTAGTGAACTGTGAACAGGTGCCTAGAGGCTTATGCCTCTTATCCATATTGGCTTATCTGAAGTGCATGTGTAGTAGTCAGCTAAAGGAATGGAGTAATTGGGTTCCCAAGGCAAAATGATGGTACACCACCCCCTTTCACTCATCTACTCAGCATAGAATGAAGATGCAAGCAAATAAGCACATGTATGAAAGACAAATGAAGGTGGGAGATTGGGTATGGTTAACGTTACAGCCATAATAAGGAGCTGGTTCCTAAGTTCTATGGTCCCTTTCAAATATTGGCTAATGTGGGAAGTGTGGCCTATAGACTGCTATTACCTCAAGAAGCTCAAATTCATCACACATTCCATGTATCTCAATTGAATGAGTTCAGGGGAGTGCTAAAAAACAAGGAAACTAGACAATATCCAAATCCAGGAGATTAAATTCATGTATAAATTTGGGAGCTTTATGCTAAAAAACAAGGAAAAATAAGGCATTTAAGAAAAAAAATCCAAAAACCAGCAGATTAAGATCAGAAGACACAGAATGAGGTATTTAAGGAGCAACCAAAAGGAGCAGAAAGCATCATGACCCAATGAGTTCCCTGGGTTTTCAGTAGTTGACACTTAGGGTTAGAAACTCAATGAAAACAAAAAATTTAGCAGATGAAATCCAAAAATAAACGCAGAAAACATAGAATCCGCAGGCTTGAATTTATGAAAGGGGCTCGAGGAAACCAAAACCGGAGCAGATAAAAGGAGAAAGATTGGAGCAAGATTTGGCAAAAAAAATTTGGACCATTTCTCGATTTGTGCGTGTCATCCTTGCGCAGGGGCCATGCTAATCTTCTCTGTATCGTTCCAATTTTATCGGATGTCCCCGAAGGGACGTACTGTGCTGCGACGCCTGAGTATATGAAACGGAATGTAGCCTCTCTGTCGTCCGGTGTGGGAAGAATCAATGAAACGGCCCGCGGAGCTCAAGTTCGATTCCTCAATGATGTAAGGCCCAAACTTAGTTATTCAGTCACATCTAATTGATAATTAAAGTTTGTCTAGTTGAATTAAAAAAAGGTCAAACTAGACGAATATTCTAGAACGAATAAAATATTTATAATGCCTATCTACTTCATCTTAAAATTATCCTGCAAGTTTTGCTTTTTGTCATTTTGACTACAAATTATTAAAAAGTTTATTATAAATATAAATTTAATAAACTTTAGTTGATTTTAAGTTGTATTTTTTGATACATTGTTATAAATACAAAAGTCACCATAATTTTGTAATGAATGGATTAATTGAAAAAAAATTAACCCTTTTTTACGCCAATGACAATATAGTAGAGTCCCATGAAAGCAGTACTCCGTATTTGGAGGAGTGTGTACACAACAAGGAGGGATCCTCTGTCCAAGATCTTATCCTACTAATCAAAATTTGACAATAACCCACCCATCCATGTAAATATGCTCCCTCCCCCATGCGAGTTTGTGTTAAATGGAGTGAAGTGGGTTATGTGTCAAATTTTGATTGGTGGGACAGAGAATCGAGACACAATTTGAGAACACGGGATCCTAGACCGTGTACTACAACTTAATGGAATCCCACAAAGTATGTGATTTTAATATTTTCTATGTGTGATTAATATTTTTTTCTTTCACGTCTAGATTATTACTCTTTGTCTCAATTTAAATCGCTTGTTTTAGTTTACGATGTTTGGCTAAAATTATTTTTAAATTATTTTATATGAAAAACGACATAGAATTAAAAAATAAAAATTACATATTAAAAATTACATCAAGAGATATGTAAAACTAGTAGTGGCATGACTATATTATTTTAGCAAATAAGTAACGAAAATAAGGAAAAAAAGTGAATAAGTTTGACAATGTAAATAATAATCAAGCAATTTAATTTAGAACGGATGGAGTAAAAGTTATATTCTGTCTGTCTGAAAATAAGGTTTCTGTTTACTATTCAGATAATCAAATTAAATAAATTCACTATTAACTATATACAGTTTCTTCGACCATTTGATAAAATAAAATAGTTTTGTTGGCATTTTTTGTAAAACATTTGATGTAGTTGTTTTAATATATCATCATTATTTTTTAATTCTACACCAATTTCCATCTACATTGATTTGAAAATTACTTTAGTTAAACATGGTAACAGAAACAAGAACCTTATTTTAGGACAAATGGAGTATAATTTTATTTTTGTAATAATTGTGTACAGTCAACATGAGAAAAAAATTGGAACGAAGAGTGTAGAATTTTGGAAAATAACATAGTGCACTCATTTATCTCAAATCATTATATATACAAGGATTACCTACGACCCATTAACATGTCGGCTCAGCAACTACTTACACAATGAATAATATAATACTCCTTCCGTCCCCAATTTGATTACAAATTGTAGGTTACGGAGTAAAATTTTCTACTTTTTGAAATCATTTTATTTACAAATTGGTATATCAATAAGATATAAAAATTACATATTAAAATAGTACGTCAAAAGTTCTACAAAACAAGAGGTGACAAGAATATTTTATTTTATCAAATACTTAATGAAATCACGTAAACAAACAAAAGTTATCGAGAGGAGAGAAAAAAAAATTGTAATTTATTTAGGTACGGAGTATGTACAAAATACTCCAATATATGTGACAAGCATCCATTCAAAGCCCCTCCTTTTTCTCCGGATATTATGACAAGCTTAGGGGAAGAAAAAAAATGAGTAAAAAAAAAACATTACATTTCTGTTCTTCCCTCTTTCTCTAATGACTTTTCCCCTCCATTCTCTTGAAGCTCATCTCCATTAGGGTCCTCCTTCAACTCCTCCCCTTCTTGGAGGACCCTTTTGCCCTTTCATTTCCTTCTCCAATCACACAAGAAAAAAAACCATGCAAAATGTAGAGACCCATTTCCATTCATATCAGATTATATACCGAATCGCGTAGCGTTCATCGTTCATAATGCATGATAGACCCCCACATTGTTCTCCCTCTGTCCCGTGTTTTTGTTTTTCAAGGATTTTGATTTGATGTCAAACGTTGGAGCCATTAGAACAGTCTGCAGATTCTTTCTCCTTGATTGTCTTCAACACATATCTGATACTGCATACAATCCGTCCACCCGTCGCAAGAGGATTGAGACATGAGTTGCTTTCCATGTTTCCGGAAGAAAAAGGAGGAAGACGACGGCGATAACCAACCACCACCACCCGACCAGATACCGCTTGCGCATCCCAAGGAACAGCCCCCTGCCACAACAGCACCATCTCCTGGTACATTTATTTCATTTTATTTATTGGTTATATACCCAATCGACGGATATATAATAATGTGGATTCTAAGTCCACCCATAAAGTACCTTAACGCCTCTTCTAAAAAAATTATGGACCCTCAAATATTTACTTCTTTCTTGCTATATATGGCCATGGATAACATACCTTAAGGTACCTTTAGGGCATTGACGAACATCAAATATGCATTTTTTGAGGTCCTACCCTACCATGCTCTTATTGAGTTATTTATGAAGAAGTCTAATCCTATGTTTTTTGGACCTGCGCGCCTGTGACAGTGAGTGGCACGCCAAAAGCAGCAGCGTCTGTCCCAGAAGCTGGAAGCAACAACGAGGCTGCCTCAGACTCTGGAAATTCCAATAATGCCAAGGCATTCAACTTCCGCGAGCTTGCCACTGCAACTAAGAACTTCCGACAGGAATGTCTGATTGGAGAAGGTGGATTTGGGAGAGTATTTAAAGGAACACTGCAAAATGGGCAGGTATATATTAGAGAGTATTCATTAGTAACATACCTCTATTAAAAAGAATTCCATATTGACGTTTGGGTTTAAAAGGTTATGTTTTGTATAATAATGTTGGTGTGCTGCGAACAAGCTTAATGAAGATTTGTATATGTATAGGTTGTGTCTGTGAAACAGTTAGACAGGAATGGAACGCAAGGGAGCAAGGAGTTCTCAGTAGAAGTTCTACTCTTAACTCTCCTAAAACACCCTAATCTCCTCAATCTCATCGGCTATTGTGCTGATGGAGAGCAGAGACTTTTGGTTTATGAATACATCCCAACGGGTTCTCTAGCAGACCATCTCCTTGGTAATATATACTTTGTATAATATTAACTCACAATGATGATGATGATGTTTGCCTACTTGTTTCATTCATTAACAAATATAATGCATGAATGCAGAAGAGAAAAATGATGGGAAGGAGCCATTAGATTGGGTGACAAGAATGAAAATAGCTTCGGGCATTGCTCAAGGTCTTGAATACCTACACGAAAAGGCCAACCCACCCATCATCTACCGAGACTTGAAATCCTCAAACATCTTACTTGACGCAGACTTTAATCCTAAACTATTTGAATATGGCCTTGCCAAGCTCACTAGTGGGGGAGGAGGAGGAACTTCATTAACTATGACACCAAGAATCATGGGAACCTATGGCTATTCAGCACCAGAGTATGAAAGAAGTGGGGAACTTACCTTGAAATCTGACGTCTACAGCTTTGGAGTCGTTCTGCTTGAGCTGATCACTGGCCGTCGAGCTGTGGACACTGCAAGACCTACAGATGAGCAAAATCTTGTTGATTGGGTAAGTCTGCAACCCAAAGTTCTTCCTTTCTTTCATTTAAAAAAAAATAATTGAAAAAAAAACTCAACAACCTGTAAGAGCTGAAGTATGAGTGAATAGGGGTAATTTCTCATTCACCAAAGTTTCAAGATATGGAGTCTTTTTTTCTCACTTGAAGTTTCGTGTCATTTCAATTAGGCACAACCCTTTTTCCGGGAACCAAAGAGGTTCCCGGAATTAGCCGATCCACTTTTGAACAAGGAGTTTCCAGTGAGAAGTTTGAATCAGGCAGTTGGGGTTGCAGCCATGTGTCTCCAGGAAGAACCATCAGTTCGTCCCTTGATCGGTGACGTTGTAGCTGCTCTCAGTTTCCTACAAGTGGCTCCTCAAGATGAACCGGTACCCGAAGAGCCACAACCGCATCCGACACCACCATCAGACCAAAAAGATGGCGAAAGTTCGAGCAGTGATTCAGACGATGAGAGCAGTTCAGCTTCCTCAGACCACAGTGGGGACTAGCAGAGCTGTGTTGATTCAAATTTAGGAAACATATGATGGAACTATTCCATTAAGTCAGTGGGTCGAAGTTTTGGTTCATATTCAAGAAAATTTCATATATCTGCCTGATTAAGAAATGTATAAGTAGGCCAGAGTACTAAAACTGAACAGAGAAAAAAATGAAAAGTTTCCTGTTGAAGACCACTGTGTATAGAAGAGGAGGAACTTCAAGTTTGTCCTTAGTTAGTTAAATTAAAAAATTTTGATCAAATCATCTTATATCTATCAGGTGTTTAATCCCATGCTTCAGATGCATCGCGATGTATCTTGACATATACAAAGTACTCCGTATATATTAATCTATATTCCAAAAAACAAAAACAAAAAGAAAACAACTTTTATTTATGAAACCACTGAGGAATAACAAACTACGTACAAAAGTAAGGTCTTGGAAGTAGAGAGACAACTAGTAGAAATGAAATGATCAGATTTCAGACTGACCAATTGGGCTAGACCACATTGGTATTTAAACATGTATATTCACTTGATAGAAAACACATATGGGTTGCATACAAAGGTCCGCCTCATGAGATATCTCTAAGTGTTTATATCCTGCCTAACCAATAACCAATCGACATAAAGGATCCATTTTCTCTTCTTTAGACCATTAATGTTTCTCTAGCCATCCCAACTGCACCCAAAAAAAAATAAAAAATAAAACCCAAATTTCTAACAAGTATGGATCTCATATCAATCAGCAGAGTTCAGAAAATGAGAAAAAGAATGTACCTTCCATGCATACACTCCAAAGAATGTGACAATATCCACTGACCAAATAACGGGAAATGATTTCCAGAAGAAGGGAACTATAACATTTAACAGTGGGATGAGAAGGAAGAGGTAGTTGAGCGCTTCTTTCTCATTCTTTGAGCAGTCTCGAGCCCGAAGGGATGGAATCGCTGTAATGGGAACATATTGAATTGGTGTAGTACAATCAACACATTCATATATGAGAGCATTCAACAAGTTAATGAAAGCCACAATGTTGTTAAACGACAGGTTTTGACTTGCATATGTTTATACAGAGTATTTAAATCTTAATTCACTTGCCAAAACTAGTTTTGACATGCAATAGTAGTCAAATGAGAGAAATCAGCAGATACCCTCTTTAAATAATCATGGAACAAGACAACAGACAGCCAAGGAATCCATTTAGTAATTCTTTTACATGAGGGGAATACTAAATCTTAATTGATAAAAGCAGACACTGCAGTACTACATTTACTTCTTGGAAGAATTACCCACTAACATAGTCTGTGATTAGATAAATGCCCGATACAAATGTACAATAAAAGATACAAAACTAATAGAAAACATCAAGAATCAGGCATACAGAACAAATACATAACCAGAAACCCAGAAAGAGCTTTTACATGTGCAAGCAAGTAAACATAATGTAAGAGTTAATAAATTGCACACTATTATTTAACGTCCTTGATAACATATTCCAGAGTTCAAAAGGATTAGAAAAGGTAAAATCAAATAAAAATGACTAGTGTACAAGAGAGTATGCACAAAATGTACAAGTCATCACTGCAATAGATTTCACCAACGCATTTCCCATTTAACTTAGAACCCTATCTGCATTGGAATTATATAAATAGCAGATAATCAGCTGATAGGGAACTTACTAAACATCCAGATGGACCACATCCCCATGAGTCTCCAGATGTCTGGATCATTTGATGGGAAAACGAGATTGAAAGAAAGAGCCCCTCCCAGCAACATAGATGCATATCCCTGGACTTCAAACACAGTGTATAATGTGGTTCCAGGAACAGCTGGATTCTTTGTGGCGGTTGAAGCTCTTGGTGCAAACGTTGCAGCAGTCTTTTGGACTGCCTGTTAGGGCCAAAAGGTTATACACAATTTTGAATCACAAATGTATTTTGATTTCAGATTCCTACACAGTTGGATAAAACTATACCACATTGAGAAAATATTAATGTTTCACCTAAGAGATGGACATGAAGATGAACTTTTCCTAGGTCTTGGGGGCAATGGTTGTCTGGCTTCTTGTGTTTATTATATAAAAAGGTAGAAAGGATAGTGAGTGTTTTTCAATTCGAATTACTTCTACAAATCACTAGCCCTGAAAAGCTCATCCCGGAAGGCAGAAAAACTCCCATTGCAAGCTTCTTTGGAACCCCATGAAGTAAATTGTTGTGAAAGTAAGCTGGATTCAGTTTATTTTGGCAGTGCAAAAACGCTAATCAGACTCAACCAAAAGCTAAACCTTGTGGTTGTAGACATGGGAAAGCTTATTATACTCTAACACGCCCCCTCACATGCAGAAGACATTTGGTTTTGTTCAAACCTTGCACGAAACATTATAGGCTAAAATCCACCATTGGCCCTTCAACTTTATCAGTTGTGCACGATTGGTTCTTCAAGTTTCAAAAGTCCATAAATAGTCCTTCAACTTTATGAGTTCTGCACCATTGGTCCTTCAAGTTTCAAAAGTCCATAAGTAGTCCTTCAGAAACAAGTCAGCCCTCCAGATGAAGTCCTTTTGACAGTAAATATTAAAAGTTAAACGAAATACTAGTTTCATATAATACGAGTAAATTCCACTAGGTACGACTACTCCGTATTATATGGAGCTAGTATTCCATTTAACTTTTAACATTTACTGTCAAAAGGACCTCATCTGAACGACTGACGTGTACTTGAAGGACTATTTATGCACTTTTAAAACTTGAAGTACCAATCGTGCATAACTCATAAAGTTGAAGGACTATTTATGGACTTTAAAAACTTGAAGGACCAATCGTGCACAATTGATAAAATTGAAGGACCAATGGTGGAGTTTAGCCAACATTAATTTGATACCATGTAAAGGAATCAAGTCAACCAAAAGTTCAATTTTGTAGTTGCAGATCCAAAGAAAGTTTTTATACTCTAACACATAAGTCTGCAAAACCCAAGAACAATGGCAAAATCCCCAATATAACTACTACAGAAGTAATAGTATCAACTGAAAGCAAACTACTAATTTTCCAACTCAACTAAGCTGCAATTAATCTCAAATTCTCAACATAGCTACAAAAACAGCCTGGTTTGCTCCTGGGCATTTCAAAAAAGAAATGGTGAACAAATAGGGAGGGGTCACCTTATTGAGTTCTTTATCAAGTGATGGGAGTATAGTAGGAGATGATAATGCACCAGAAGTGGCTTTATCTTCTTGTTCAACTTCAGTTGCTCTAAACCCCACCGCCTCCTCCTTCATACCCTTCTTCGATTTTGCTGGAAATACTGAACTTCTACCGATAAATTGGGCTCTAAAGACGCCATTTTTAAGAGCCGGGCGGGATATTGCGTGAGAACTCAAAGATGAAGATATCAGGGTGCTCATCGCATCTGTAGTCTATCTACAACTCACCTCTCAGAATGTGATTTTAGTCCATAACCTCTCTCTTTTAAGTATTTTTTTTGTCAAGAAAACCGTACAAGTAGAAAAAATTGAGTTCTATTTATATTTTATCAAGTAACTTGTGAATAGTGTTCTAACAAAAAATTTAGAAAAATTTGAAATTCATAAGTTATACGAAATAGTTAAACTTATAAGTTTCGAAGAGAGATACTCAACAATATATTTTACGAAAATATCTAATCTGCAGAATTGAAGTTATGATTATTTTAAAAATATAAAAAAGTAAAAAATAAAATTGAACTGGTTGGACAATTATTTAGAAAAAAAGATAAAAATGAATAACTAAATTACTTTTAAAAAAACCTAGGATAGATCTTATCAAACGTATATTCGTTTGTTTATATAATTCATTTTTATCATTCTATGCTTTCAATTTATTTTTCCTACTAGTTTAGTCTTACTCTTCACTGTTTTCATATGTTTAAAATGGTTTTTCTTTAAATTCGTTGCTCAATTAATTTCATAAGATGTATCGATATATTTTTCTCTTCAAGAGATATAATTTTAACTATAAACTACTTATTAACTTTAAAATTCTCTAATTTTTTGTCTAAAACATTGTTTACAGTATTTTTAATTAAATATAAACGTATTCTGTTTTTAACTTGATAGAAAGCACGAAAACAGAAATAGTCTAGAGCTAAAAAAGGGTAAATTTGTACTGTCTGTAAAAAAAAAAGAATACTCATCTTTATAGTAAGCATTTGCTTACCATCCACATTTGTAATTTCACAAAAAAATTATGAGATTTTAAGTGTGTTGTAACATTTCGCGTCAAGTACCATTAAAAGAAAAAGACTAAAATTATAGTAAAATATAGAAAAAATAAAAATTAAATATTCAAATTCTTTATTTTCAAAACATGAGTTATATTATAATACAAAAAAATAAAATAAAATGACAACATACATGGGTAACATTTACTTTAAGGATAATCACACTTCATGCCTTCATAGAAGTCGCAATCTTGAAGGGCGCGTCTTCCAAATCCAACGGTCCCCATCTCGCCGCGAAAAAGCGTCTGCCTTCGCCGGCACCGGCAACGCATGGATGCAAACTAGCCGGTAAATCTCAATCGATCCTTTTCTCTCTTTTTGTTCCTCCTTTATTCTCCTGCTTTTCTTCTCCATTCCAACCTGGGCAATCTCCCCATTTTTCATCCAGGGATTTCCGCCATCTCCCCAATTCCACAATGGAGCACTCACCGCGTCGGCATCCCCGAGATCGGAACTCCATTAGCTCCGACGAGGTATCCGTCGACTTGGCATCGGAGGCCAAATCCGGTAGCGGCGATACCAATGGAAGCGGATCCTCCACGCATAGCGGCACAGGTGTTGATGTAGCTCGTACGTACTGTTTCTCGTTTTCCATTTCATTGTTTCGAAATCTGAGAAATTTCCCATAGCTGTATGAAATTAGTGTTCCGAGAAAACCTTTCACCGGGCATTTCTATGCAATTTTGAGTGCAATTATTCGTTGGAGGGAGATTTCTTACTCTCTTCATAGTCCGGATTAGTGCTAATATTGGATATGTTAGTTAAATTCTGTTCAGTGTTCATACTATTCTCAGTTTTTGTAATCTTTTCCTTTTCCCAACAGATCCAGTACCCCCATCGACTAATCAGCTTAATAAAACTGAGAATGGCAGACCACACTCTCTAGCATTGCTAGCTGCAAAGTTTTTTGATGAAAAAATATCATTTAGAAAGAAGGTCAGCTCAGCTTGGTACATTACTAAAAAAATCCTCTAGTTGTAGCTCACATACTTTTAATTTATACCATGGATGCATTTGACTTGTCGTGTTATTGGAGAGTGTTGACTTTTGCAATGCGTGCGTATATTTCCAAATATCAACTGAGATATCCATCTATATGCGGGCATTAAACTGATGGTAAAGATGGAACTTTTGCGATGCGTGCAGCACAAATTGTTGAAAAGAGTTGCCACCATTCAAGATGATGGAACTGTACAATTTGAAGTTCCTGGAGACATCAAACCTGAACATCTTGATTTTGGTAACAACATTGTTGACAATGGAGCTACAGAGGAAGCTAATAATGACTTGGAGGATATTCAAAAGTTGCCTCCGTTGCAAATTGTTGTGCTAATTGTTGGAACCAGAGGAGATGTACAACCATTTATTGCTATTGGAAAAAAACTACAGGTTAAAACCTTTCATAGAGGAAAACTTTGGGACTGACCATGGGAAATATAAGGGCTTGTTTCTTCATGAAACATCCCTTCATTGTTGATGAGAGCATTGTATTTGCATGAACATCCTCTAATTCTTCCCACCATGCTATTAGTATGTCCTGATTGGTATCGAATCCTTTAGATTAAAGTATTTATCATTTTACCAGATGATCAACTTTTTTTCCCTTGGCAGGAACATGGTCATAGGGTGAGGTTGGCTACTCATGCCAATTTTAGAGACTTTGTTTTGGAGTCTGGGTTAGAGTTTTATCCTCTTGGTGGGGACCCAAAAGTCCTTGCAGCTTGTACGTTTGAGAACATTTCTATATTGCCTTCTTTTGTTTTCTTTTTTGGTGCAGTGATGGTATATACTATATAATGAAGTGCACTCTAGAATTGAGTTCATATTAGTTTTTCCAGTTTACTTGAGAAACTGCAATAAGGACTAGCATCGACCATAGCATTGTAATTACATAATATAAAGTGATGAGTAAAAGCATCATAGTTTGCTAATATATTGTTTACATGTGGAAGAAATAGCTACTCATTTCAATAACTATGGCTACTGCAGATATGGTAAAAAACAAAGGATTTTTGCCATCTGGGCCTTCTGAGATACATATTCAACGTAAGGAGATACGAGATATAGTTTTCTCCTTACTTCCGGCATGCACAGATCCTGATCCAGAATCTAATCATCCATTCAAAGTAGATGCCATCATTGCCAACCCCCCGGCATATGGTAAAATCTTTAATTTTCATCGTAATCTTTTATTTCCATCATCCATGCTCCCACATTTGTATGTCTAAAGAAATATGTCAGCACGATAAACAAGAGAGTGTTGAAGGTAGAGAAATGTGTCTGTGATAATTGATGTGTGTGTGTGTGTGTGGTGAGTGCGTTCAGATGGTGAATCCATGGGCATGATGCATTACAATTTGATTTATGTTCAATAATTGTATTCATCTGGTCTCTTCTTGTCCCTTAAGAAAATGTCTCCAAACTCCACATACACACCAACACATTTTATACAATAATGCATCCCCTGGTTTTTTATCTCATTATAAATCTTTTGTAGACACCAAGAAGCCTAAATTTAATGCTTCTGATAACTTGCTTGATACATCAGTGGCATTTACTGGCATTAACAAGTAGAGCTGTTAGATTGAGTATATTTTTCTGATCATTCACATTGATGATTCTTCAGGACATACACACGTTGCAATGGCCCTGAATGTACCACTGCATATATTCTTCACAATGCCATGGACGTAAGTTTTTCCATGCAGTATTTGTACCTGTGGGTCCCTAATGTCTGTAATAATCTATAAAAAGTTTTTTATGCTATTTAATTTCTCCCACTTTTTTATTTTCCAGGCCTACTAGTTACTTCCCACATCCTCTCTCTCGTGTTAAGCAACAAGTTGGATTCAAAGTCGGTGCCTAGTGATGTGACCTATTCCTCCTAATTGAAATCTTGATATGAATCATTTTTCTTGCAGTTTCATTCATTGGACAGCACTTGAACTTACGTGCAGATATCGTATCAAATTGTTGATTCATTAATCTGGCTTGGCATACGGGATGTTATAAACGAGTTCAGGAGGAAAAAGTTGAAATTGAGGCGGTTTACATATCTTACTGGTTCTTTCAGTTCACCTGAAATTCCACATGGATATATATGGAGTCCACACCTTGTTCCTAAACCCAAAGGTCATTTTTTTCTTATGCTCTCACCTGATACGGTTTAATAATGTAATGACCATATATATTGTGTTTTGAGCCATTAGGGACACTACATTAGATTTACATCTTTCGATGTAAAAATTTATTTGTGATAAACAGTGCATCAAAATACTGTGTTGAGGTAGACTATAAACCATTGTTTTTATCAAAATTCAATCTTTTGCCTTCTACTACTCTAGCTATTGCTTTTGTTTCCGAATTTAAACTTCAAGATTTTCTTTTTTCTTCAACTGGGTGCTGTATATTACTCCAGTATGCAACAAATTACTGATGGTTTTACCAATGTAGCTTATATTTAGTCTCTGCTATACTTATTATTCTACACTTTCCACACAACATGAAACATGTATCCTTAACAGTGGTAACTGTTTCTTTATGAATTCTATCTGTCAGTGTCAGTACTCTAATGGACTTAACTTTCCATGATTTGCAGATTGGGGTCCCAAAACAGATGTTGTTGGGTTTTGTTTCCTAGATCTTGCCTCTAATTATGTTCCGCCAGAACCACTTTTGAAATGGCTTGAAGATGGCCAAAAGCCCATCTACATTGGCTTTGGCAGCCTTGTAAGTGTTGGTGATCAATTTGACTTATTTTTCTTTTCCAGCTCCATCTTATAAAGAAAGTGTTTATAAACATTACTCATAATCAGATAATTTTGTCCATCTGGAATTGAGACTGGATGATCTTTTCAATTTGCATGACAGGAGGGAGTAAAGTTGGTGGATTATGTGTATTTATATCTATATGTGCCATGCATTCTTGCAGCCTGTTCAAGAGCCAGAAAAAATGACGGAGATCATTGTTCAAGCATTGGAGATCACAGGACAGAGAGGCATAATCAACAAAGGGTGGGGTGGGCTTGGGAACTGTAAGTGAAAAGAGTTTTGTATACCACAGTTGGCATTTCTCTGTTATCAGAATGCTAAGGTTCCTTAATTACGAACATGATGCCCTCTTGTTGCAGTAAAGGAACCGAAGGATGATGTGTATTTGTTGGATAATTGCCCGCATGATTGGCTGTTTCTGCAATGTTCTGCCGTGGTAAATCCTGCTCTTGGATAATGATTTGTTGAACATATTTATACTTTCATATTCGTAAAATGAAGAATCAATTTAATTAACAAATGTACTTACTGTGGAATCAGGTGCATCATGGGGGTGCCGGAACAACTGCTGCCGGCCTAAGAGCTGCGGTAATAACTAAGACCCCCTTTGGTAGCTTTATCTGATTTGTTCTGTTTATTTAGCTAAAATGGATGTTACAAAATGTTTTTATTTGGAAACAAATCAGCATATTATGTCATTTCAATCAAATAACCTTTACCAAATGGGCCCTAAGTCTCCTCAACCTACTTTTTCCATATTTAAGGAGTAGTGGTCATTTCATCGGCTAATTTATTTATGGGGTGGTTATGTTTTTTCAGTGCCCTACAACTGTGGTACCTTTCTTTGGGGACCAACCGTTTTGGGGTGATCGGGTACATGCTAGGGGAGTTGGTCCTGCACCTATTCCTGTAGATGAGTTTTCACTTGAGAAGCTGGTTGCTGCCATCAAGTTCATGCTGGACCCAAAGGTAAAACTTGAAGCCTCATTGGTCGGGTAACATTTGTCATTACCATCATCCTCTGTATGACTTGTATATACTCCGTAGTTCATAAGACATTTGTAGTCTTGAGTTATACCCGAGGGACACTGGTAGTGTTCGCACAACTAAGCTCTGCATTTTCAATCCCATGTTTTCCCAAATTCCCCTTAAAAAATGGAAAATATATTTCTTCCGTCATTAGGGTTCTAAAGGTACTAGGAGGTTGAAAATGAAAATGTCTTGTATGTAAAAAAATTAGCAGATGATTGAAAGTGCAAGTGATGATAAAAATCAAGTACTAAGAGGGTAATGTATGGGGGAAAAATTATCAGTAGTTTTAGTAACTCGCGCTTCTGTTCTCTTTTCCCTGTATTTAGGGAGAAAACTGTGCTCCCAAATAATTGCCTCTTTAGAATATAAAGAGCGGATCATTTCCGCCACTACATTTCTCCATCCATAAATTTATTGCTTCCTTGAAACATGAACACGTAAAGGGAGACACTCATTAACATTTGTCAACTTTTCTTTTAATAAATTGCTTGTGATGTTAATAATGTAGGTGAAAGAAAGTGCGGTTGAACTGTCAAAAGCCATGAAAAACGAAGATGGTGCAACCGGAGCGGTCAAAGCTTTCTATAAGCATTATCCTCGCAAGGAAGTCGATGAGTCAGAAACTAAAACACCGCAGCGTCGTCCTCACAGTTTGCTCTCTATAAGACAGTGCTTTACGCCTTCTACGGTTGACTCCTAGTTTTGAAAATCAAAGAAGAAAGCACATTCTTTCTCTATTGCATCCCATCTGCTGGCTGATCATTCCTTCCCTCTGCCGTTGTGCCATTCTACAGTAATCTCAGTGTGTAATCTAATAAGATTTCTCTGCAAATATAACAGCTTGGCTCTTGGGAAATTTCTTACTGTAATAAAGAAGCTTTTTAGCCATGTGGTGATGCTTGGCAAGGAGTTTTGTGGGAGTTCATTAAGGTCCCGTTTGGTACATGGAATTCAAATTATGAAATTGAAATTGGAGACTTCAATTCCAATTCTGGTATTTGGTAGCACAAAAATTATGTGGATTTGGAATTGATAGTGCAAAAAATAAATTGAAATTGACAGAATCCAATTCTATGGAATTGAATCCTATGGAATTTCAATTCCAATTCAATTCCAATTCCACCAATTCATTATACCAAACGGACCCTAAGGGTCCGTTTGATACATAGAATTGACAGAATTGGAATTGAAATTCTATAGAATTGGATTCAATGGAATTGAATTCTCCAATTCCAATTCATTTTTTAAACTACCAATTCTAAATTCACATATTTTGGTGCTACCAAACCCCAGAATTGGAATTGAAGATTTTAATTTCAATTCTACAACTTGAAATCTATGTACCAAACGGAGCTAAAAGTGTTTGGTAAAAATTCTTCCGAGTGTTTTCTCCCAGATAAGCTATCGTACTTTTCAAAAAGCTTTTTTTCAAACTTAAAAACTTTTTGGAACATCCATTAAGAGCTTTTTGGAGCAATTGTTTTTCAACTAGGGTTGATTTGTTTGACAGAGCTTACACTAAGTTCAAATCATGTTGAAATAGCCATAGTGGCTGAACATGCATTAAAAAAACAACTCCTGTAACATGACAATGCTCAAATCGTGGCATTGTTGACACTAAGAGCACTGGGTATACCGGTATACCCATAACGCCACCCGGCGTTAGGGTTGTTTTCAAGCCCCGGGGGCGTTAAACACCGCCCCTGGTAGCGTTACCCGAGCGTGAAGAGGCGTGCGTCAAACGAATGACGCTTCGTTATTCTCATCCCCTCCCCCTTTAACGGCTATTATAGCCGTTGGACCCAAAAAAAATTCCTTATAAATTCAAACCTCCCCCTCCCAATCTCTCACACCTTCCTTCTTCACTCTTCTTCAATCTTCTTCTTCCCATAATTTCGAAATCACCCCCTCTCTTTTCAACATGAATCCTTCCGGCTCCGGCTTCTTTCCCGACAATCTCCCGCCAAGCGATGCCGCGATGTGGTATTACCAAGAGTGGGGCGATCAACCGCCGATCTACAAGACGCAACAATCGGGATACGTCGAGCGAGATTCGGTTCCGGAGACTCAACCGGAACCGACCGGGTCGAAAAAAGCACACACTGGAAAAGCCACAAAGCCAAAGGCACGATGATCGAGGCGGCACGGTCAATCCAAAAGTGGACGCCGGAGGAGGAGTGCTTATTGGCGTCGGCTTGGGTTGACGTCTCCGAGCATCCTATTATTGGTAAAAATTTTATTTTTTCTAATATATTTATGTTTTTATTTATATATATTATATTTAATCGTGTCTAAAAAATTGTGTTATACATTTTTAAAGGTTCGGAGCAAACGAAGGATGCGATGTGGGATCGTATCGAGGAGAAGTTCTACACGGCGATGAACAAGGACGGCTCCTACTGAACCTGGGACCAACTCACTTCCAAATGGAGCCACATCAACCGTAAAGTCCGAAAGTTTATCGGAGTTTACGAGGAATGCTCCCGGTCCCGAAGGAGCGGGACGAATGACGGCGATGTTCTCCGGCTTGCCACGGCCCGGTATCAAGACGACGGGCACCAAGGCAAGGTGCCCATCGATCTTTGGAGGATTTTGAGCCGTTCCCCAAAGTGGCAACAACTCAACAATCCTGATGGCGGATCGTTCTGGAAAAGATCATTCGTCGACGCCGAGGTTGAGGTCGACGAGACTATCGGTTCGACCGATCAAATCCCTTCCTTCAACGTTGCGGATTCCAATGACGAGGACCCCATTCCACGGCCGATCGGAAGAAAGAAGGCAAAATCCATTGCCTCGGCTTCGGGAGGGTCCGACTTTGTTTCCGCTTCTTCCCGCGATGAAATCGGCCGGGAAATGGTTGAACAACTTCGAGCGTTCAATCTCCAAGAACAAGAGATGTTGAAGCTAAAGGAGAAGGAGTTGAAGCTAAAGGAGCAGGAGGTCGAGATGAAAGTCATGGCAACCGACCCCGGGACGTTGTCGGAGATTGGACGAATGCTCTACGAGAAAAGAATAAAAGAGATCAAGGAGAAATATAATTTTCCTTAGTTTTTTATTAATGTATCTTTTTTTATTATTGTCGCTTTTTTATATTTAATGAATGTATTTTTTATTATTCGTGTTTCAATATAATTAAATAATAAATTAATTACATTTTATTAATTTAATTTTAGAAGATGTATATTTAAAAATGTAAAAAATGAAGGTTTGAAGCCCCAGTTTGAAACTCCAGGGCTTCAAACCCATTTCCAGTGATTTTTGGGTGTAAGTTAAAGCTGACGTGGCAGAGAAAGAAAGTTTGAAGCCCCGGTTTGAAGCCACGGGGCTTCAAACGTATTTCCAGTGCCCTAAGACATGATGAAAAATGCATTTAAAATTTAAAAAGGACAGAAACGTGATAAACCACACAAATGTTCTCCACTAAGACGTAATAAGCAATTTTGGGAAGCACAGAAAAGGAAGTAACACAAACTTATTGCAATAAGTGTCGTTTATCTACCATCTCAACCATTCCACCAAAATAAAACAAAAGTAAATTATATTCTCTTCATCCCAAATTAAGTTGTCTATTTACTATTCATTGGATCAAATTTCATTCATCTTTTTTTCTTCTATTTTTGTTAGTTACGGAGTATTTGATAAAATAAAATAATAATGCCACCACGTGCTATGTAGATTTTTTTATTTAGTTTTTAAATATGTAATTTTTTTTAATTCTACACTATTTTTCATATAGTATATGTAGTTTCATGTCACCGTATGTTAGAATATGTAGTATAACAACAACCCAGTAGAATCTCACAAAAATAAAGTCTGAGGAGAGTGCATGTACGCAAACCTTATCCCTATTCTTAGAGAGGCTATTTCCAAAAAGACTCTCACCTCAACGTCGAAAGTTACATCAATTGACTAACTGCTACTTCATTAATAATTTAGAGATCCATTTTGTTTTATTCCACCAGACCCAAAGCTAAAAAATATTGGATTCCATCACATCTTTCATTATTAATGGATTCAGCAAGAAAACTAAAACAAATTAGTGCTCTGTAAAAAAGAATTACTTATAAGCTGAAGGCATATCAAATCAAAAGTGTCACAACTACAAAACAACCGTTCTTTTAATCAATATTTTTATCAACATATGCTTATTATACTGAGTGCGACATAATAACACTCAAAGAGTTCTAAGTCAACTTGTAGTGGGTATGAAGGACAGTGATTCTCATGGAAACACAAAGAGTAGACGACAACATCAACTTCCTCAAAAGACTTATCGGCATTTAACTAACAGGCAAGGCAAAACAATAGAAACTGTTGGAGTAAAACCTTACACCTCAACCAACAACGTGAATGGTGTCACTGCGCTTTCACCGTCTTCCAGAGCTTGACCCACTCCACCATAGTCTCAGCAGCGCGAGAAAACACAGTTTCCGAATTCCCCAATTGCCCTTTTATAGCCGCAGCGATCTCAGTAACGCAAGCTTCTGCAGTGGTTGCCTGTGGTGACAACTTCAAGGACTGGAAGAAAGGAACCACTTCCTCCATCACCTTCACGCCTTCCCACTCCTTCTTCAAGCTCTCTATTGCATCCCCTCTCTCTTTCCTCCAAACGTAGGGGATCCCACTCTTCACTCCAAAGCCCAAGTGATCACACACTGCCTTCACGCACATCCCGCTCCATATGTCCTCCATTGTTTCCCACCTCAGGTTCCCTTCCTTTGCCAACCTGAAAGCCGGCAAGAGAGCGGGCCCTACCAACTCACGGTCAAAGGCTATGTTGATCCCGCTCACCGGCATCATTGCCTTAGCAGGCACGGTAAGAACGGCATTGACGTACCGCGAGTTCCTCTGATCAGGCTTGAGGGCCTGTGTGGGAGCATCGTAATCTGCCAAGTTAAGCCATAGTCCACACGACAATGCACAAGGTACACCACTTCTCATGCTGAAAGGGTACCCACGGACAAAGTCTGCTCCTTCACGAAAAGGGTCGTATAGGGTGTTAAAGAAAAAGGGTGTCGCTGGACTTTTAAGGTTGATGATGTGTTGGGTGACTGCATCAACAGTGTTTTGATCCTTTATTGGGAAACAATCATCATCAACTGAGATGATATATTTTTTGTTAGAGATGAGATAACCGAAGTATCTGCATGAGTAGCCGCAGAAGAGGTCAGTGTTTGATGAGCTGAGAATGCGTTGGATATCAGATTTTGTATAGACATGATGGTTGAATCCACCAGGGATGTTGAGTTCTTCTAGGAGGTTAGGGTCTTTGACGATTATGAGGTGGAATCTGGAGAAGATCGGTCTCCATTCTTCCAAGAATGACGTGAGATCGGGCTGGAGTGCACCAATAACAATGTCAATCTCATCATCTCTGATGCTCACTTCTGACATTTTATCAGGTTTTGATATATAAAAAAACAAGATAATAACTAGATTCAGTTGATATTAAGCAAGGTCAGAACTTCCTCTCACAGCATCCTGGATTACCAAAAAAAAGGTAGAAATTTAAATGGTTATACTTGCACAACATCCTGAATCTCTTGGATCATAACAGGAATATGGATGGATGACTTACTAGTCGGAAGAACAGGAGTGAGAACAGCTTGGATGTTGAAAGACTCAATCAGAGAAATGATTTCTTCTTTTCCAGTAGCCACAAACAGCTTCAAAATCTTCTCAGTCAGCTTTCCAGCTCTTAATGTTTTCTGAGAAAAATAAAAAACAACATTTGAAGAAACAACACATGGAACTACGGCAATGACACAAATTACCAGTTTTCACCAGCAATCGAAGAAAAAGTAATCATTAGTCAGACATTTCAGGATATTGGATTTACAGCTATTGGGATCATATACTAAGTGGGATCAATTCCAAAAATAGCCCATATGGCACTTATTCTGGCTTGAAGCATGTTGGTATCTTTTTCAACATTTGAAGAAACAAAATTCATAAGATAAAATCTCAGAACAATTTTTATCATTAAAAAGAAAGAGTGAAACCATGGGTCCAAAATGCCACCAATACCTAAAAGGCTAAAACTCCTTATTCAACACAGAAGATCCGTTTTCCTAGGGAAACAATTGCAGCCAGGCCATTGACGATATCGGAAAATTAACAGCAGGAACAACAACAAACATGTGAATTATCAAGGAATTCTTCTTTCCAGTATATCTGACACCGCATTAAAATTACAACAGGAGTACAAAATAAAATTTCACCAGATCGAACAAGGGAAGATTCGAGCAAATCCATACGCGGAAATTGAAACACCGCATTTTTTTGTAAAAAAAAGCCTACCTAGAGAGAGAAATGATTCATAAACGCACAAAGTTGCGCTGAAATCAGACAGAAAATGAAGAACTGAAAGGGGAGACGGGAGATGTGGTGTAGAGAAGGAGAAAGAGAGCGTACCAGGAAGAGGTCAACGAGGATGTGATCGGGCAAGGAGGAGAGATCGGAGATGAAGGAGAGGTTAATAAGGGCAGAGTCAATGGCGAGCGAAAGAAGCGATGGCGGGGTTCTCATTCATTTCAGCCTTTCCCTTTCCGTCTCCCTCTCTCTCTCTCCCATCTCCTCTCTCTTTTATCACTACAAAGCATATACAAATAAAATACGGAGTATTAAATTCTATAAGGGTTAGTTTGGTATATTGGAATTGGAATTGAAATTCCATAAGATTCAATTCTATAGAATTGAATTCTATCCATTTCAATTCATTTTTTGCACTATTAATTCTAAATTCACAAAATTTTTGTGCTACCAAACACCAGAATTGGAATTGAAGTCCTCAATTCCAATTTCATACTTTGAATTCCATGTACCAAACGGGGCCTAAAGGATCTTTTATAAGGGATGTTCTTTTGATATTGAAATCTCATTTCATGAAATGACCCAGGGAACCATAGTGTTTGTTCATAAAATTGATAATTCTTATCCCCTAACTTCCCACTAAACTCTCACTCTGTCCCTATCTAAACACACCTCACACCAGTTGTTTAGTATTATGAATTCTGATATTCACTTTCACATTCCTTTTATAACCATTTAAATTTTTATTAGAAGTTCTGGATATTCAGCCTGATTCGGATATTTAGTCAGTTTTGGATATGTAAATTGGATTCGAATATATCTGAAACTAGAAATTATCCTTCGGTTACAGATTTAGAAATATAAATGTAAATATCCTTCAAATTCGAATATCCCAAAACTTAATCGGATTTGGATTTGAATATTCCATATTCATCGCGGATATTATCCATTAACAACCACAGTTTTGCACTGTAATATAGTATGCGTTCAAGATCCGCCTTAAAATATGAAAAAATGAGATTGGTCCTGTGCAAAATTCACATGTTGGGTCATGTTTTATTTTTTCAGAGTAATTTCACTTTAAAATTACTGATTAATTTGATTTTTAATAATCACTTCTATAACAATTTATATATTAAAATATAAATTTATATTAAATTTAAAAAAATCAAGTAATTAAAATAATAAATATTTAACAATAAGGGGCCTAAAAGTTTGGAGGCCCTATGCGAGTGGACAACTTCCACACTCTCTGGGCCGCCACTCAATTAAGCCTTGACTAAAAGAAAGGGCATAAGGCAATTCGAGAGCTACAGCAGGTTCCATAAGGAAGCTTTCAAAGTCCGAACCAAACAGCAGCACACCAAGACGTTCAAAAACAATATGCCCAAAACCATTAATAGTTTAGGGAATTCTCCCAAACATAAATAAGACAAGTTGTCCTCACAAGCATACATAAATTTTTAAAAACAAAACAAAAACCAGTACATAATCAGCTATGGTATCTGTCTTGATATGAAAGATTCCAAACATATTCAAAGGAAAACACAGGAGAAACACAGAGGCGCACACACTCCAGCAACGTTGAGAAAGAGTTTCTTTCTCCCCCCGGCGATAATCGCAAAATCACAGCTTGATAGCCTGAATTCACACGAAACAAAATGGCGTAAGTTCACAAAGAGAGCACGGAATCAAAGGGAAAAACTTGAAAGAATAGGAGCATACCTTTTCAGGGGAAGGAAAGACAGAAGATAGAAACTGCTCATCCTCCATGAAAACCTGCAAGTTATTGGTCTTCATCAAGAAACTGATTGCATCCCCGTCGAACTTCACAAGGTAGCCAAGCTTGATCAGCTCGGCAAGCTGGGAAACCTGATCCTTCTCCCACAAGATTCCCTCCGCAATCACTTGCGAGAAATGCATTGCATATTCCAGCATCCCCTTGTACCCCTCGGATTCATCAAGCTCTACAAAGTACAACTCTGAACTCTCTCTATCCCAACGCATGATGTTCTTTGCTCGCGCAGTCAGAACCTGCCCTGCCAAAACGAGACTATACTCAAAAGTGATGGGTTCATCCATCTTTAGAAAGCTGGCATTCACTAGCTCCCTGAGAGACTTGTGTCTTCTCTCGGCAACCATTTCAAGAGAAGGCCGAGCAAGAAAGGCAAGAATAAGCCTGAATAGATCCCTCCCAATATAGATAGTTCCCGGGCTCACATTTTCCAGCCCAGAGCGGTTGACTGAGAAAAGCCTACTCTTCTGGACAGATTCCGATAATGCCCCAACTCCAATTTCTCTGTAGATGTTCAGAAGCGATGTTCGGGGCAGTGAAGGAAGGCTTGGTTGTGGGTACCAAACAAACAGGGGGTCTTTATAGCTTTGTTCAAAAAGATCCTTCAAGCAGAGGTCGTCAGCAATGAAAATACTGCCTTTGTCAAGCAAATAAATCTCACCATCCAGACCAGAGGAAGCTGGGAGTTTTGTTAAATTTTCTGCAAGAAACTTTTTCATGCTTGGGCTCCAGTGCTTGAGGACAAAATCCCAAAATGCACAACACTCTGACGGTGACAGTCTTTTCTTTGCACACTCCCATGATTGCCATATCTTAAAGTAGTCATCCCGTGCAGGAGAGGCTTTCACACCCAGTTTGGAGAAGAAACTAAGCAATTCTTTGCTGTAAAACTTGTCCAAAACAATAAGTTCTAATCCAAAAAGAGCAGTAATGTCATGGAGAACACAAGTGGTAGGGCTAACCCATTTTCCATTATTCTCAGCACTAGGAACCCATACCATGTTTCTATTTACATTGGTTTCAGCATCATCGGGCCAGCCATTGTTGTGCAAGTATGTATATACCCGAGTAATAGTGGTCCAATCAGAATGGAATTCAAGGTACTCTGCAACCAAAGAGCAGCCATCTTTCACCTCAACCACCACACCCAAAGCTTGAAGTTGTTTGGAGCATGATGAAATCTTTAGACCGTAAAAACTTTCATCAATAAAGGGTCCATCATCTTGCTTCAGGGCATCAGCCCATTTGGGCCCAAATAATAAACATTCTTGTGGACAACGATAACCTGCTGTCGTCTTAATCCACTTAATGTTGAGTTTTTCTCGGAGAGCAGAGATCATGTCGTTTTCCTTCTTGTCGCCATTCTCTTGTAAGATCTTTATGCATTCCAACAGGGAAAGTGCAGTAGATGGTGAAATACCATCAGGGTTGTGAGGCAAACGAATGCATGCAGGAACAAATTGGGCTCCTTTTCTGAATGTGGTGGCAACTCCCATGGCACCAAGTTCTGCTTTAAACTCAAGGATTTTTGGGCCATAGTAAGCATCATCAAGAAAGGGTAAGAGACAAACAGAAGCGAGTGATGTCCAGTCTTCACCAAACAAGATGCACTCTTTTGGGGTGCTAGCAACACCAAGTCGTGTTTTAAGCCACTTGGATTCTTGAATGCATTTCCAGATTTCGCCTGAGTGAATATTGAAGCCAGCTGCCTTTAACTTATTGTAGGATGCAAGGAAAGAAAGGGCACTCGCCTTGTCCAAAGCACATTTAGAAGCCCGCTGCTTAAAAACTTGAGCAAACGATTTGGTCACATCCTCAAAATTTACCACCACACCCAAATTCATCAGCTCATCCTTGAATGAAAAGATTTTGCTTCCATAAAACTTTACATCGATTATGGGGAAGTTGTCAAAAACATGGAGAAGGCAACCCCATGTTGGATCCGGTAAAAAACATTCAACAGCGGGTTTGTACCCATTTGTTACGGTCTTTAGGCATTTGTTTCCCTTGAGTGCCATGCACAGTCTATCAGTAGAATTCAACTTGAGGTGACGAATACATTCAAGTGCCAAGAGAACTGCTTCGGCACTCAATGAATTCAAATTGTTCACTGGTTTCAGGTTGGAAACAACTAGCTCAAAATTTTTATTGAAACCAAAAACGACACCAAGCAGTTTGAGTTCCTCCTTAAAGACGAGAATATCCTGACCATAATGATTTTGATCAACAAAAGGAATGTTACTGATTTGTGAAACGGACGACCAATTGTCATCAAGAAACACACATTGCCCTGGCTTCTTCATGCCTTGTGTGGTCTGTAACCAGCTCTTGTCTTTGATGCTATTCATAAAGTCATCAGGAGGAAGATACTTATCCCTCAAGTACCTAATGAATTTGAGTATGGAAATGACATCATGTTTTGTGAAAGCACAAGAATCAGCCAGAGACATAAAATGTTTCCCAATGAATTCACACGCTTCTTTCAGCTCAAACATTACACCTATGGTCTTCAGTTCTTCCTTATAGTTGGAAATCTTTTCACCATAAAAGTCAAGATCAACAAATGGGATATCAATGTGCAGCGAACCATTCTGCAAATGATGCCCCCATGATGAGGAGTGGAAGAAGGATTGTGATGGGGGCCTGTTTCCAGTACTACCACACAAACGGACTCTAAGCCAACTTCCATTCTTTACACAACTTAAGAAGCTCCCAGGAATTGGAATCCGATTCCTTCGGTTATAACTAATCCAATCTAACAACAGGAAAGCATTTTCCTTTGTTAGTGGAGAAGACATACTATATAGTACTGCATTCGGAAGAGGCAAATGAGGGATATCCATGGCGCCTGCATAACTCTTTAGAAATTCAAGAATATCTTTTTTTTGTGTCAACACACCACCAGCATATCTTCGAGAGTGCAAGTAATCTTCTCCAAGCTCAATATAACCCTCACCCTTCCAGAGGTTAGAACCAGTCAGCTGAACCCATTTGGCTCCATTCGCAGGAACAATAACTCCTCCTCTTTGGGTTGCCACTCTCTTGTTGTCATCGACAAGCGGCATGCTGCGGCAAAGTGAAGTATTCTGGCTTGCAGAAATGTATTCCTTCATATATGAGTGATATAAGAAGTGAGCATACGCAAGGACAAGCTCGTTATCATGGCTAAGTGATTGGGATATGAGAAGTGCATAGTCATTCACGCTCAAAGATTTCACGTTCACCACACTAATCAGCCAATCATACACTTTCTGCCATTTGTAAGAACTGCCGTGATACGCCTCTTGTGTTTCTTTGGCAAGGAAATAGCCCTTCATGCATTGAAACTCTTTGTTCCAATTGATAAGCCAAGTTACTTGATTAGAAATATTGGACAGAAGTAATGTGGGACTGCCTTTAGATGCACTATCTACGCTGCACAAGGCCACATGATCATTACTGTCAACGTACTTCAGCAATGGTAATTTGACCATCTCAGTCTTCGAAAAGGATTGCGCCCAGTGATCAGAAACAAATAACAGAAGTTGTAAATAAAGATCTTCAGACACTCCTAGAATGAGATTTGAAGCTTTTATGCACTTGGAATACCATCCATGTTCCACATTCTTCACCTCCAAGAAGTTCAAGATTTCATTGTACTTCTCCTTATCAAATGCATAGTTGAGAATGTACTGTCCATGTGAAGAGATGTTATGGAGAGCGACACCTTGCTTCCTAGCCTCATTCAACAAGTTCCAAAAGGAAGGCCATAGCCTCCCCACTAGGCAAGGCTTTCGAAAGACCTTCTGATTTGTATACGATTCACATGGAACTATATCTTCCTCCAACAGCTTTGCTTTGATAGGGTCTCTCACAGTAGCATTCAGGCTTGCATAGGAAGAAGTGGCAATAGGCAAAAATCGGAACATCTCAATCAGGCTGGAGACCGGAGCATCATCACTGGCCTTCACTAACGAGGAGAAAGCACTCAAGAAGGCCAATGGAACACAGTCAAGGATTCCTTTGTTCCATCTGTCGTCTGCAACAATGGCTTCCCGGGATGATGTTAGTAGGAAATCTGCTTGGATGATAAATGGGAAGTTGGTGACCATCTCAGTAGGTAGAAAAGCATAGATCCCGGGAGAGATATTTCCCCTGTTGAGACGCTCCCCATGAGGAAACGCAAGTGTGATTACCCAATCTTCAACGTCCATTCTCCGATCAACCCGACATTCCTTCTTGACTGGGAACCTTTGTCTCCAGATGTGATAACTACACTGCCCATATGATCTATCTTCATCAGCAGATAGAATAAGTGCATATGACTGGGCATTGATGTTTTTCTGTGTCACGAGATTCTTTTCACTAGAAATGGAAATGGTGCTGAGAGTATTGAGCTTCCTTTCAGCATTGTCTTCCCTGACCGAAAGCTTTCTAATCTTGGACAGAAAAAGGAGAAGCTCTGGGTGAATCTTTGAAAGTTGTTCCCTCACAGCATTCACCTTGTCAGATTTAAGAGGCAACACCAAGGTGGTGCTGGGGAGTGCAGTTGAAGAACCATAGATGTGTTTTATGTGTGCAAGAACTGGGTTTGCATCATCCAACCATTCAGGGACTATGTAACCGATTTTGCACTTTGCACATGGTTCCTCACAGAACCGAATTTGATATCCCTTGCTGATAATGTAAGGTTGGGATGTGATCATGAAGACACTCTTAAAGCCAATACCTGAAACAGAAATATGGAAATGCACTCTTAAAGCCAATACTTCAAACTTTCCCCAGTTTATTTTAATGAAATAAATATGGGTCGTGATTTTTTTATTTCTAAAAAATTTGCTTCTCTTTCTTTACATCTGGGAACACAAGCCATTTGTTCTTCAAAAAAAATTGCTTCTCTTCCTTTGTTCTTCTCAAAGCCAATCAATCGCACAGGCACAACATCCATAGCAGCAAGAATAAGTAGTACAATACCAAAATTAGGAGAGAACAGTATATCTCATTTTACTTTCACAGTTGCAAACCCTTTCAAGATCTATCCAAACCCAAGGCACCCCTCGGATTCACCTAAACCGATAAACCCGACAGAGCCAATTTCTACATGCAGTTCCCAGTTTAATCCAGTGGATTCTACTAGACTGGAAACTGTTACAAACGGGATACAACCCACTGAAAAAGATCGGTATGGAGGAATGGCAGCCACCGCAGTGGAACCATACTGAGGTGCAGCTCCGTTGGAGCAGCGGCGGCCTGCGGCACATTTTCTGATTTTCCGATGGCCCTGAAACCGCGACGAGTAATGCCAACGAGTCCCTAACTGGAGGAAGTGGAGTTGGCTTGCAAAGCTAACTTCAATTTAAGTTTTTTTAGGGTAAAAGAAAAGAAATACTTCGTATTTGCAACAACTAGAATTTAAGTTATTTCTTTAAATTACATTTATATAATTTTATTTTCTAAGTAGAGCACAATGTCCAATTACTTATTTTCAAAGTAAAAATGATATTTATGTCCTTTCTTTTCATCTATTTTTAATTTCCATTGTTTTATTTTACTTTATTATGCAAATATATAAAATAAAATATACGCTCATCATCTCAAATTAAATTTTTTTATAATGTATTTTTGAAAATAAAATATTTCTTTTGGAGAATGTTACAACAGACAATGAAAAATAAAATATAATGTACAAAGTAAATAAAATAATTGAAAAAGGTAATAAAAAATATAAAAAATAGTCTTTGTCGATAACTCCGTATTATATTTCATCTTTCTATTCTTCATTTTTTAAAGTTCTCAAATAAATTATTTTACTTTTAAAAACAAATAAGTTAGACTTTTTAATTAGAGAGAGAGTGAGCATATGTTATCTAATTTTTTATTTTATTTATTATACTTTTACTTATAATAAAAAAGTGTATTTTATTTCATTTTTTTATTTTTCGTTTTCTTTTGTAATAGTTTCTAATAAAAATATTTTTTGAAAAATAAATAAATGAAAAATTTTAATTTGAGAAAGAGGGCGTATATTTTATTTATTTGTATAATAAAAAATACAAATAAAAGAGTGAAACTTGAAGATAGAGAAAAACAAAAGACATAAATGTCATTTTATTTCTAAAAATCAGCAAGAGGCGTTTGTATACAATTTAAAAACCACATGGGTTTTACAAATAAATTTTAAAAATAGAGAGGGTTTCAAAGCCCCTTTTATAAATCATGGGGGCACTCATGCCGTTACCCCAACTTTTATTCATTTATTTTGATCAATTGTTTAATTAAATAAAATATTTTTATCGTTTCTTATTTTGGATAATTTTTTAAGTGGTTTTTAAATATTTCCTCCATACCCTTTTTTATTACAATTTTATTTTCTATCTCTTCTCGATAACTTTTGTTTGTTTGTGTGTTTTCATTAATTATTTGATAAAATAAAATATTCTTATCACCTCTTGTTTTGTAGAGCTTTAGATATACTCCCTCTGTCCAACATAGATCTTCTCAGATACTATTCACAGGGTCAAACTTTACTCACTTTGTTTGCTCAATTTTACTAGTCATTTCATAAAATAATATAGTCTTGTCACCTCTAGTTTTGTAGAATTTTTCATGTAGTTTATTACTACATAAATTTTATTTTAAAATTTTACTCCTATAATCAATTAAATTGAATTGAAAATAAAGTCGGTCAAGCCTCATAACACGTAATGGGAAGATCATACATGGACGAAGAGAGTAATTTTTAATATGCAGTTTTTATTTTTTATTAATGTACCAATTTGTAAATTTAAATGATTTAAAAATCGTAAGATTTTACCTTGTAATTCCAATTTTGTAATAAAAAAGGGACAGAGGGAGTATGTGTTTTATTTTAATTTCAATACCAAAATTTTAACATAGTTAAAATGAATTTGAAAAAAAAAAAACTTGTGTGATGTCATAGAGATTTTGGAACACAGGAAATGATAGAGTCTAAAATCATGTCTTATGGCAATTTGACGGGACTTGATGGAGTGTCAAGTAAGTGACCTGTGAGCAATTGAATATAAGTAAAAAATTTGTGTTATGGAACTTGAAAAGCCGGCATGACCGAAGAATGATGAGTAAAATGTGAATTATTTTTATTGATCAGAATAAATATATACTCCCCTCCGTACTAATCTTTTTGGGACAGTTTGACTTTTTGAGAAATTAAAGGAGGTATATTTTGGTATTAATTTTCCAAAAATACCCTTGATGTGATTGGTAAAAGTAAGATGTGATGGGTAGATTATTAGAAAAAAGGTATGATGTGATAGGTAGGGTATGAAAAAATAAGGGATAAAAGTGGTATTTTATTAGAAATGTAACGGACTTTACGGGACGTAATTTTTTCTAAACGTAACAAACTTTTGGGGACAAAGGGAGTATTATTAAATGAAGAGAAATTTATAAAATTATCCTTAATTTTTTTTTAAAAAAAATGTTTTTATATCCATTTACTAATGGAGGGATATTAATATAAATTTCATAAAACAATTCGTGTATATAAGATCTATATCCAAGTAAAGAATAGAAATCCTCTCAAATAATTATATAAATTATAGAGTATTACAAGGATAAAAATATGTATATATTTTTCTTATTTTTACGGAGTAATTTAATACTCCATAATAAAGTTGTTTATGTGAAAAGGTTGATGTTTGATTCTAAATACATGATAGAGACACTCATCTTTGGATTTTAAAAGTACTTAATTCATCTCAAAAATAAAATTTACACCCTACTTCACCTCTTTTTCAGTTTTTCTTAATTTATTCCAAACACTAAAAGTAATCGAAAACATTCTTATCAAACATGGCCGGCCATAGACACGTATAATATAATAAATGTAGGTTACCAACGAACCTTTCTCGCCAATGTAGCCATTGTTACGGTTGCCTTTCTTGGTGGAACGCCCGACGCTGCAAATGGAGTCAATGTTCTTAGGGGAGAAACCCTTCTCGTTGTTGAAGACCAACAGCGTCGCCTCCGCGCCCGTCTCCGTGATGTCCTTCGACGTGATCACGAATTCCAGCCTCGGCTCCACCCCCGCCTCGTACACGTTGTCCTCCGCATTCTGCACCACCCAAGTAATCAATAAGTACATTTTTTTGGAATCAATTACATACATACTTGTTTATACTTCCTCCGCTTGGAAAAACCCTTCCCATTTTGATTTGGGGCAAAAATAAGGAGGTGTTAAATTATAGTTAATTTCCAATTTTGCTCCTGATGTGATGGACAAAAGTAAGATGTGATGGATATATTATTAGAGAAAAAAAGTATGACGTGATAGGTAGGATATGAAAAAGTAAAGGTAAAAGTGGTTTTTTTAATAGAAAAGGGAAGTATTTTGTTGGAAGTGGAAAAAATGAAAGATGGAGTGTTTTTGAGAACGGAGAAAATATAAATTAGTGCGAAACTATACTTTGACTTCATTTGGTAATAGCGTTTTCAATTAGCGTTAGCGTTTTGGATAAAATTTTAATGGTGTAGATTAAATCTAAAAACACTAACGCTAAAGGCTACCGTCGGATAGCTTTTTGAAAACGCTAACGCTGATGCCAAACGGGGCCTTTATATTCGACATATATACATACTTGGATGAGTTCCATGAGGAAGTGGACGTCCTTGGAGTAGAGCTCGGCGGAGAGGTTCTTGACCGCCTGATGGAGGTCCTCCGTCAGAGGGTTGGGTTCTCCGCCGATTGAGAACTTGCTCCTCCGGATCTCCTCTATGTGCCCTCTCGGAGTAGTAGTTGTAGTAGCGGTAGCCATATGTGATCGTCGATTATTATTGATGGATGGTCTGCTGTATTATTTTACTAATATGGATGATGAAGCTGGTTAGTTGAGGCCGAGCGGGCATGCACGGATGTATACTATATATATATATATATATATATATATATATATATATATATATATATATATATATATATATATATATACTACACACACATACCCATAGAGAGGGGATGTATATAGTGAAATTTGCACTGAATAGGACTAAAACATAAGTCATTTCTTAATTTAAAACTTAAACTTTTTTATTTCTTAAATAATACTCCCTCCGTCCCAAAAAAAATTTACACCTTTCAAAAAAAATTGCGTCTCACGATCTCCTACTCATTTCTATTAAAAATCACTTTTACCTCGTACTTTTTCAAACCCTGTCTATCACATCATATATTTTTTCTAATAATCTACACATCACATTCTATTTTTACTCATCGCATCAAGGGTATTTTTGGAAAGTCAACACAAAATTATCCCTCCCTTAATTTCAAATTTTTGTCAAAACGTGTAAATCTTTTTGAGACGGAGGGAGTACTTAATAATGTCTAGTGAGAAGAATAATGTCGAAGTGATGCTAGATATTTGGTTGAATAATGAGTAATAGATAATGACGGAGTATATATTATTGGGAACCGCGCGCAGTGGAGATCATCGGTCGTATACTACTACGGAGTGGAGTATTAATTAAGTAACCCAAGAGTTTTTCAACTTGAATGCACGTCTCGGATATGGAGCAGCTACTTTAATTGGCTAATTAGGAGATCGATGAGAGGGAGCAATAACATTTATTTTCACCAATCCCTTTTAATCCATTCCCAACCAAGGCTATTGTGTCATTCGATCGAAAAATTGATGATTTTTATCTTTTAATTCTCGTTAATCTTCTACCGCCTTGTCTCCCAACCCAGCGAGCAGCAACCCTCTTAGAGCATCTCCAACCATTAGGTTTTGACTTGCTAAATGCCATAATTTGGCAAGTCATGTCAACTTTTATGCTCCAAGGAGCTTTCTATATTATAACACACTTGCATTATTTTAACTTTGGCTTGTTATATAAAGCAAACCTCTCAAAATATAACAAGCTATGATATTAATAAAATAATTAATTTCTCTCTCTTCTTCTCTCATTTTTCTCTTCTCAAAATATTTTGGTACTTCTACTTTCTAATTTTTTATTTTTTATCTACTCTTTACTTGATATTTATTAAATAAATAAATTAATACGTAGTATATTTTATTATTTTACCTAAAGTAAAAAAAATTAAAATTATTATATTTAAATTACATGCTTATTACTTACTTTTTATAATATAAAATAATATAATTTAAAAATTGTTATAAATAGTGTAGTAGTGAAAACAATTATAATATATTTTTTTAGCTAAATTATAGCAAGGAAAGGTTGGACATGATAATGCAAAATGGTTTGCTATACCACTATTTACATGCTAAAAAAGAGTTTAGCAAGTCATGCTTAGCAAGTGTGGTTGGAGATGCTCTTACTCCCCTCCCCCTAGGGTTGACTAATGTAGTAGGTGTTGTTGTCGCATGAGTATGAATTATTAATTTTTCAAATGTAACATACTTCCTATGTCTCTAAGTATTTGTCAATTTTTGACTTTTTTTGTCAAAATTAATAAATTTTGACCTCAAATTAAATAAAAATGATATTAGATTTTGATACAAAAAGAGTTTTATTAAATTTATTATATCAAATATTTTCAAAATATTATTTTATTTAATTAAAATACAGTATATGTTTTATTTAATTATAGGTCAAATGTTGAAAACAGTTGACCAAAAAAATATAACTCGACAAATACTATGAGACAGAGGTAGTATATAGTAGGTGTTGTGATATTATGACATTAAATCTTCCCATCAAACAAACCAAGATGTTTTTATTATAAATGGAGAGAAAATTTAAATACTAGCTACATCCATTTGTTTTGATCTTTCTCTTCTCTCTATCATTTGTTTAGTTAAATTTTGATACTTTTTTTAAATTCAAAAAAATGTTAAAAACAAAAGTTAATTAGACGAAAGTATGGAGTGTGGAAATAATTATAATAATAATAGTAATAATATTGACGGAGGATAATCCCATGTCACACTGGTATTAGGCCCCATGGTCGGACCCTACCTCCCAGGTAAGCTCAAATAGGCCCCGCAGTTTTGGCTCGGTCATGAGGGCGCAGTTTTGAAAAAAAATGAATCCTAAAAATGTGTATATTTGGTGTTATTTTTTAATTCACACTTGCTTTATAATATGGTAGGAAATGATGTCTAGTATAGATGAGTAATAATTATAAAAAGATTATCAATATTACATATCTTTAAGACGTGCCATTTTACAAATAGGAAATATTTTTTGGGACAAATGGAGTAGAATTTCATATTTGGGATACTAATTTTTGCAAAAAATTGCTGCTGGGTACCCCTAATTTTGGGATAAAGACTAGCAGGTCCCATTGTTTTTCAAAATATACTCCGAGGTACCTTAAGATATTCGAAAACTGACTCCGGGGTGACAATCAGTCATTCTCTCCGTTAACATTTCTTCTCCGTTATCCTCCTCTTCCTCTTCTCAAAAAATTGCTGCCAGGTACCCCCTTATTTTCGAATAAAGACTGGCAGGTCCCATTTTTTAAAAAAATTTACTCATGGGAATTTAAAATATGATGTTTGTGACTGAAGAGGGAACTTACGTATCATTTATAAAATTAAAATTATTTATTCACTTGGTTATAAATTATACGTCGTAATTCATAATAATATTAAATTTAACACTATTTTTATTGTTTCATATTATCTTTACAAGACATATTAAATTTAACACTATTTTTATTGTTTCATCTTATTCTTTTCTCAAGTTCTCTTGTTTTCTCGATTTACCATGACACCATTACCAATGACGACTATCAATGACTAATGCGGAGTACTATTTTTCTAAATAATAATTATTGTTACTCCGTATTTCTTAAAAATAGAGTAATAAAATTACTACTTTGCAATTAACTTTTAATAATAATTAAGGAAATAATAGGAAATACATAATATTATCAATTTTGACCAAAAAAACAAAAGTAGACAAATACTCTAGAACAGAGGAGTAATTAATATGAAGTAATAATAATAACTAGTGGTATTTTTTAAAAAAGTATAGAAGTAAAATTACTAATTAATTGCTTAAAATAAATAATAGTATTAATAATAAGTGTTATTTTATAATAAGTGCTATTTTTCTAAATAACAATTAGTGTTTTTATAGAAAAGAGTGGTAAAACTAACAATTAATTTTTAATAATAATAGTAAAAATAATAAATCAAAAAATTAATAATAATAATAGAATAAGAAAATAATAATTATGAAGTAATTAATTATAATAATTATTAACAAATAATAATAATAATAATAATTATAATAGAAGAAGAAAAAAACAAAAGAAAAGGTAAAAGAAGAAAAAAACGTGGGTGGGAGAAGAATGGAGGTCACTGGAACTCTGGAAGGCAGGAGAAAGAAGAAGAAAAGAAGAAAAGAGGAAGAAGAAGAAAAGAATGGGACCTGCCAGTCTTTATCCGAAAATAAGGAGTACCTGGCAGCAATTTTTCGAGAAGAGGAGGAGGAGGGTAACGGAGAAGAAACGTTAACGGAGAGAATGACGGATTGTCACCCCGGAGTCAGTTTTCGAATATCTTAAGGTACCTAAGAGTATATTTTGAAAAACAATGGGACCTGCTAGTCTTTATCCCAAAATTAGGGGTACCGAGCAACAATTTTTTGTAATTTTTGTAAAAAAGTATTTGGTGAGACAAAAAAATCAGATTTAAAACCTGGAGATATAAAATATCTAAGGTCATTAATCTGTATCTCGTTTGATGTAAAATTTGTTCGATTTAGGACTAATAAATGTTGTTTTTCCCTAAATAAGACTAATCACTTTTTTTTATTTATATAAGATTTATTTTCTTGTGATAATCAACACTTACCTTTTTTATGGCCTGTTTGGGAATTGCGTTAGATTTTAGAGTTAGCATTTCAAAAAGTCATAAGAGATTTTGTTTATCTAGTTTGACTCGAAAAAGTCAAACTGGACAAATACACTGGGACGGAGGTAGTAACTATAATTTATTCCCTCCGTCCCTAAAAACATAAGAGATTTTGTTTTTAACAGAATTAAGAAGAGTGTATTTTGCTGTTGATTTTTTTCAAAAATGTCCTTGTATGTGATGAGTAAAAGTAAAATTTTGATTGGTAGATTAATACTCCCTCCGTCCTAAAATGATCTTCTCAGTCACTATTCACATGGTCAAACTTTAATCACTTTCTTTACCAATTTTGTTAGTTATTCGATAAAATAATATAGTCATGTCACCTCTTGTTTTGTAGAACTTTTAATATAGTTTCAAAATATATAATTTTTATTTTTTAATTTTATACCTATAATCAAATAAATTGAATTGAAAAAATAATTTCAGTCAAACCTCGTAAACTGGACTGGGAGGATCATTATAGGACGGAGGGAATAAAGCATTGAGATGATGTGATTGGTAAGTTAAGAATTAGTACGGGTAAAATATCTCTACAATGTTTTTATTTTTTAAATGGTCCTTAAACATAATTAGCATCTCCAATTAGTTAAGATAACATATTTATTTCATACTCAACATCTTAGTCTTGTATTTCCAATTAACTCCTACATAATTTTCTTATCCTAAATTGTGACAGTATTCATATTACTTCTTCAATTTCAATTTCTTGTGCATATACAAAGTAATATATACTCCATAATAAAATTTGAGAATTGGAGATGTAACTCAATGAAAAACACAATTTAGAGTATGTGAATTGTATTTGATATAACTAGATGTACAAGATTAAGATATTAAATACAAAATAAACGTGTTATCTCAATTTTTAGAAGCTAAGTCTTAGTTACATCTAAAACCTATTTTTAAAATAAAAAATTACGTAAAGGACTTAAACAAAAATTTTGCAGGGATAATATAAAAATCACTAATTTTATAGAGACTAAAAACATATTTAATTCTAATATACGGTATAGTATGTATCGTTACAAAGGCCCGTCAATCGTGAATAAGACTCTGCTCTTTTGAGTGCTAACTTTGAAACTTCCAATATTTTTCTAATTTTTTCCAGTTTCTTTCAATTATTTATAGTTTTTTCAATTTTTTCAACTTCTTCCCATCCATTTCTTTTAATTTTTTCAAGTGTTTTTTCTAACTCATTTCAGTTTTTTCCAACTTTTTCCAGTTTCTTCCAATATATTCTATCTCTTTCCAGATTTTCCAACTCCTTTCAGTTTCTTTTAGTTTTTTTTGTTTTTCCAACCTTTCTAGTTTTTTCCAACTTATAATTTCTTCTAATTCCTTCCTATTTCTTTTAACATTCAACTTTGTTTTTCAAATTGAAAAAATAGAACATAAAACTCTAGTATTTCGTTAATCACATTCGATCCTAAGATCTCGGACTGATATGCACATATTGTATACACTTTTTAGATATACTTTGAAGGAGTTTTAAGTTTGTTTTACATATTTAGTCCCTACATATCAAATATCAATAATTTCGTCCCCAATTATTATATTGTTTTCCACGGATGGCCCTTTTTTAACATTTCTGTTAAGAACGTGAATAAAATTGTAAATTCACACTCATGTCTCCTCAATTAGTCTTCCTCCCTCCCCTCACACTCCTTTCCCAAACCCGTCACTAAGTTTGAATCTTTGAACCCAAAATTGAAATCATCTCTCATCTCTCAATTGTTCGTTTTCCTAGTGGAACCCAAAATCGAAATCAGTGATCTCCATGGATGAGTTTTAAGATTTATTTTCTTTACAATTTCCTGAGACTAACTCATTAAAACTTATTCATGATGATTATTAGTTTCGATTTTGGGTTACACCAGGAAGACGGACAATTGAGAGAGGAGTGGTTGTTTTTGTTTTGGGTTTAGAGCTTCAAACTTAACGACGGATTTGGGAAAGAGGGAGGAAGCTTAATTGAGGAGGAAGATGAGTGTAAATATACAATTTTATCCACGTTATTACTTATTAATGAAAATGTTAACAAATGATCATTTGTGTAAAACAATATAATAATTTAGAACTAAATTACTTATATTTGAATATGCATGGACTAAATATGTAAAACGAAATATATAAGTGAGGACCTTTTATAAAATTACTCTTTTATTTTAATTTTCAATTTTATTTTGGTAGAGCGATCTTATGCTTGTTTTTTATATTTTACATGTACTTTGAGGTCATTTGGATGCATTGAGAATAATTGCAAGAACAAAAAATAAAGCTAGGATTCAAACTCTGGATTTCAAAGTGTGAAATTGGAACTCTGACCATCTCACCACAACATAATGTTATGTATATTACTTGCGAATACGCATGGGTTATGTTCTGTTTCGCATTCGGCCTATGAATTGAGAGAGAAAAATGACAAAACAATAAACGATGGAAAGCTTCGAACACGGGTTCACGCAACCCAAAAACTAGCTGCATTTCCATGTGCGCTAAAGTACCCATATCGACGTTTAGTGCGACTCATTGTATATACTCTGTATATACGAATTTGTCTATAAAAACCACTCCCTTCTCTTCTTCTAGAGAGTTGGACTCCTCACTTCTCTACTCTCTCATTTCGGAAATTCTCTTCCTCTCTCACTAATATCTCACCACTTTCTTCCTCCAAACATGTAAAAAATCACACCATCTTCATCATCATCAACACCATCTATAATATTTGGAGCTCAAGAATACATCTTTCATTTTTGTAAAATTTTTATGTTTGTAATAAATATTTATTGGTTTAAGCTTCAAACTATGAACTTCTAAATTCCATTGGAGTTAGAAGTTGGTGTAATTAATTGTCCATCTTAATGTTTTAGATATTTTTAACATGAATTGTTGATTTCATTTTTATTTAGATGTTGTATTTAAAAAAAATTAAATGTTTCTGTTTTTTTATTAAGGGCTCAATCATAAACATAAATGTTAAAAGGAATTTGAGCTATAATTGATACAATCATAAAATATAACTCTTTTTAATTACACTGTAAGCCTTCTCTACCTTTAACCGGGATTGAAAACTTTCGAGTGGACATGCTTATTGAGTTGTACTTTTATACCATTAAATTGGGTAATTATACAATAAAATGATTATGGTTGCTGTTGTGACTAAATAATTATTCTGGATTTATCGTTAGCGTGTTAAAATCGGAGTTATTATTTAGGTAAACTGCGAGAGCGTCCCTAAATACTAGACTGCAACCCCACACATTCTATATAAAAAATAATTGACAATCCAACTTTTATAAAAACATTTGACAAAATTTACTAATTTCTACCCCTAATTTTTTACTGAATCATCAAAAACTTTGTGTTGTTTGGAACTCTCTCATTTTACACTTTTTATTTTATCTCAAAAAAACCAAAAAAATCACAAATATTTTACAACTTCTTTTGTAAACTTTTGTTTAAATTAAATTAACTTACGTCTTCCTGAGGTTCGACACCCTACTTACAAGGGTTCTTTTTAGTTATTTTTGTCCGTTCTATACTGCAAATCACGAATTTAGGATAACATAAGCAAAATTCGAGAAGGCTAGAAGAAGAGCTTGTTCTTTTCAACTTATTATATTACATATTCTTAT